TGGTTTTAACGTTGGTAGTTAAAATCTCTTCGAAAAAAATTAAATTAATTTTCTTAAATATTTTTTCGTCGATTACTCACTTTTCGCGAATAACTATTTGTTTTTGAAATGTAATAATAATTACCATGTTGAAATCATTCAATATTTTATTTGGTTGGTGACAGCAAATTAAGTATCATTAATTTCATCTTAGCAGTTTAGTTATTTAAACAGTGCTCGGAATTTATGTATATAGCGTTAGCCAATTGTTTTAGAAAGCTGGAGAACATAAGTATTTTAACAAGGTAAGCTACTTATTCGTTAATTTATTAGGATATATGTATTTCAATCATTTTTATAAAAATTATATTTAAAATAATATGTTTGGGCTTAATATTATGTTTGCTAACTGGTGAAAATATTTCATTTTTAGAAATTAATTCATTTTCAGTAGCCAATCTAGTAATCTGCATAATATTATTTTATTAATTGATAAAACAGATATTAACAGTTGATATTGTCAAGTTATTATAATCTTTTTTTCCAGTTATTTTTCACCATCAAAACGGCCATAATTCATATTATATGAAATCGTATACGTTAAAGATTATAATATTATAGTTTAAATATACAATCATAATTGTATAATATTAATCTATGATTAACCCTCAAAAGCTACTGCAAACAAGTAAACACAGTAGAATTGATTATTGATTAATAAAATTCCAAAAATTTCACTTTTTACTATCATTTGTTTTTCTTTAACAGAAGTACAATAGGTATTTATGGCGATGCTAAAATTATAATTACTATTTTACTACAAAAATAATAACGATTCTTAATGGTATTTAATTTATTTTGGCTTCGATGCGGAAATGTATTGGTTTTACAATGATGTGGACGATTTACTCGAATCAAAAATTAGCGTCTCTATCTATGTATTGGAATTTCCTATGCTATTTACACTTTAAGGAGAGTGAAAATTAAAAAAAAAATTACTCATTCGCACACGATTAATGGAAAAAATGCATATTTTCGACTTTGACATTTTTTATGGAACATTGGACGAAAAGCATTCAGCCTATAAATACATGAAGGTGTAACATAATGTAGAAAGGTCTAAATTATAAATTTCGAAACCCCTGATTATTTTCGGCTATTTTTATGGGTTTTTTTTTAATGCAATCTTTAGGTTCAGTAAGGCCCCGGGCACTGATAAAAATGAACAAAAACGAAGCGGCCACGTTCTGAACCTGCCAGAATCATAATAAATTATAACTATACATTATTATTTTTAGTTGTGTATAAATATAATTTATTATTATCATATATCAGGTTTAGAACATGGCCGCCACGTTTTTACCTACATTGACTGTCCTTTTTTGATATAACTTCTGCAGTGGAGCATTATCACCGTTGTCGTTATCATAACGATTTTAATATTATAATATAGGTGTAATATTATTTTTTTATTGTGTTTAATGTGTGTGTGTGTGTTAGCTTAAACACAAAGAGATGGGAAGGTGAAGTGGAGGAGGAGGAGGAGGAGATTCGCCGGTGTGTGTGCCGACGGGTCGGGTGCACCGGCAGATCCGATAGCGGGCAAGCGGTACGTGCGCTGCTGCGCAGTTCGGCCTTCGTGTACCGTCGGCGGCGGTCGTCACCTGCCGGCGCTCACGTAGGCCACGCCGGGACATCACGGTCGTTGCGGGGCAGCGAAGGGTACCGGGCAACATGGCTGTCCCTGTACTCGTTTTTTTACCCGAATCTATGATTGTATAAAAAAACATACATATTAAAATAATATTAAATGCAATAATTAAAATAATAATTGTAATAATTATCATTAGGTATTGTTAAACACGATAACGCGGAAACGCTGGCGTATTTTTCTTCAAGTAGTTCAAGGATTTTTATTACGCACGCGGATGCTGCTATGGCACATTACACGCCAAATTTGTAACTAATTATCATTCAAATTAACATTTTTTTTTTTAGCTAAAAATGTATAGATTTATGTATGTAATAAATGTCACCAGACCGGTAATCCCAGCTACCCGGGGACTAGACGGTTAGCCGAAAAGCTTAACTGTTGCTAATTAATAAACGACAGAATAGTGTTTATTTTTTTTTATTCAGTCTACCGACGGCGAGTCTGTACAATATAAATAATACATTAAATATTAAAATATACACGTGTATTGCTTGTATGGAATAAACATAGGCCCCTCTCCTCTCGTCCCTCCCCTACCGTTGCCCGCACAACCCACACACGACCACTTGATTACAACGGCAAAAGGCGACGTTCGAACGGAGCTAGGAAGCTCATTAGATTTTGTGTTATTCATTTTTTTTTTCATAATAATCTTGAGTATTGCTCTTGAAAATTAGGTCTTTTTCTTTCTACTTGCGTGTGTACTTGTTTTTGGGCAAGAATGGTAGCCGTACAATTTGTTTTTTCAATATTGCGAAAAGCGGAAGTTTCCATTGGATTTGCATGTCATTCATCTGATCGACCCGATGTGGTCGGTTTTCGATTTGAAATTCATGAAACCATCGCGTTTTGCATATTTTGTAAATTCAATTTTGTGTCGGACATTGATTTTTAGATAACAACATTGTCCGTGACCGATGTGTAAGCATATTTTTTAGCAATGGAAATTAAACCATCTGACGTTCAAAACGACAAATTCCACTTTTTACTAGGTACCCATCGATTAGATATCCCGTTTATTAGGTCTAATTTGCTAACAAAAAAAAACTATAGGTGTCCGTTCGGTTTAATTAACGTCAATTTATATTGTCCATTGTGGAGTAAACGTCGACCTTCGCACACGGTTCAATTAAATTCTGTATGAAACGAGGGCCAAAAAAAGGAAGAAAAAAACACCTTGTAGGCGACTACAGTGAAAAAATATAAATGGCAAAAAACCACCTAAACCCAAAAGACCCGGAGGTTTTTATTTTTGGTTAAGCCCGACAAATGTATGATATTTATCAAAAAACACAGTTTTAGAGCAAACCTATTAGAGCACAACCAAAAAAAAAGCATTAACCGGGTCTATTGTTTTACCCCCCCCCTCTCCTTTTCTCATAATTTTGGAACCAAATTAAGGGACTTAGGACGTTAACTGCGGCAGCAAATTCTGATTTGTATTGTTGCCAATCGTATAATATTATACTATTTCGTCATGAAAAGAACCTTTATAACTGATCTTTTTCTAAACTACGTTCTCCGAGGAACGGTTTGTGGATGTTTTGCCAAAATGTTTAACACCCCATGAACTTTGAGATTATTATTACTTTTTTTTTTTTTTTAACTAAAAAATTACATAATATAGCGGTATTTTTTTTTGTCGTTTTCGTTTGGCTAATTAGTAGTTTGCTGAGGTTTAAAAGCTAATTATCAAGCCGCTGTGCTGTGATGTACGTGGGATTTATTGCATAATAACGCAGGTAAGATAATGACAAACCCAAACTACTAATGTACGGTTGTGTTATTACCAGTTAATGAAAACGCGTTATTCTGGCGACACGGGTGTCGCTTTGTGTGCGTTACGTCGCAAAGGCTGAAGGCGTTTAAAGGTCGTTGACCAGATACCAAATACCGGGTATGCGGTAATGTGGCCCGGTCAAAAGCGTATCGATACCTTTTGTTGTTGTTAAAAATATGTGTACTTATAAACTATAATGATCATTTTCGACCAAACGGCAAACGTAGCAATAACATATTATTATTATTATAATCTTAAAAAAATATGAAAAATACATAGAAATATAATTATTCATACGTTCTAATGGTTAATCGACAGCGATAAAATATGATAATATGATAATTATATTACCAACGTGTCAGAGGACACAATTTTCGGACACAATAAAAATGTTGTACAAATATTGCACTGTGATAAAAACATAATAATAATAATATTATATTAGTTTAATCGTTGTATTCTGTGCACGTTATTTTACGATGATTAAATAATGAAAAACTATTATCGTATATAATTGCCAATGCAGCCTTTTTTAGTGTAGTCAGTTACATATATTAAATAACGATGATTCGTAATCTTATTAAGACACTGTGTGTGTAAATACGCATTAAATCCATTTTGGCACTGACGGGGTATTTTATTAATTAATAATTATAATAGTATAGAAAATCGATAGTAAACTCACTGATAAGATTTTATTATCTGTTGATTTAGAAAAGGAATACAATTAATACTAATAATTATTGTTTATCAAAAAAAAAATACATATTAAAAATATAGTTTTTATTCCTGTAAATTCGATTATTGGCAGCCGCCAGTTTGACTAATCAATCATTTAATTTGATTTATATTGTTTTTTACAATAAACGTCAAGAGTATTCTAAAAAAAAAGTTCAATATTTCTATGAACAACGACAAATAATGTGTTTGCAATGGCAGCAATTTGGCAGCAGTGTTAATCAATTATAAAAGACAAATTTTAAATATAATTTTTTTAACAAAAATATTGACTATTTTTTTTTGTATTTTAATTGAAAATGTTTAACCATGATATTTGGCATTATGTATTACAAAACTGGATAAGACGCGCACATCACTTTGTCCGAACTCAAACCTAACCTAACCTTACGTTATGCAAATTTGAATTACATTATTTATAAATAAAATTGTGGATTCCACAAGCGTCCGATAAAATATCTATTAAAACGAATACAAAATAGTCGATAATTTGCATAAAACATTTTTTCTCTAGGCGAGGAAATGAGTTGTATTATTCTTTTCTATGAATTTTTACGACTCAGGCGCCACCGCATTTGCAAACTGTGTTTTTTAAAAGTAATTTACATTGTTGTTCGATTTGAATTTAATTCTTATATACTTTTGCATGCAAACGCCCTTTAAAGTTCGTTTACCCTGTTAACAGATAGAACGTCTTACTAAGCCTGGGGCATTGGTAAAAAAAAAAATGAGAAGCACTAAGGAGTTATTTAGAAAAAAAGTTCTAATGACCAGTATAGTTAATTTATTGTACAGTTTATGTATTTAAACAGATTTTTAACATGTTATATTATTTTCGACTATTATTGGAGACATGTCATTGTATGTTTTTAATACCAGATGATCCAATTTTGATTTTCGTTAGGGATCTGAAAAAAATCGTTTGAAATTTGTCAAAAATGCGTTTAAGGTTTTCAAGTGTTTAAGGATGGAAAATCACGAAATGCCCTCAACTTGCTCGAGGTAGACTTAATTGATGCATAAGCAGTAACTTAGTCAGAAATCGATTTTAGAGGCAATGTAGTGAACACTACAGAAAAATTATCCCACCTAATGTATATCCTAATCACTTTATACTTACAATACTTAACGTGTGCTACCTTGCTGACTATACTGATGCTCTCAGTCCACATACGGTTTAGACGGATGGCTGTCGTGCCAATATTCGTCGTCGCGAAACATTATCATACCTACTTTTGGCTCTTTCTTGTTTATGGTTTGAATATGAGTCATTTGAATTGATTTGGATAAGCTAAAATATGATAAATATAAATTGAATTAAGCTTAAAATGTAATCTCCTGTACTCAGGTTTTCTATGATTAGTTTTGGAATATTCACATTTATGTAAGACCTAATTTTAAAAGACGGGGTATACTGGAAAAGAACGATCTTGGAGGAACAGGAAATATATCAAAAATCTATTATAGAGATGCACACCTCATTATGAGTAGGCCATGTATGGAAGACTAGTGGACAAATCTTTCTAATTGACTCATGATACCAAACTTATTGGAGAAAAGACTCGAGGTAGCCTAAAAAGCGATGATTTGGCAGAGTTAAAAACGGGTTGAACAAATGCAAATAAAGGAGTAAGGGTGAAAGATATCAAGGATAGAGACAAATGTGCGGTTGTAGTAGGTAACAGAGAAGATAATTTTGCATTTATACTAGCATGCATTAATATTTGATATCATACAAATTACCATTTATTGTCGATGACGTCATACGTTTCCATTGAGCCGGTAGTATTTGGTAAATCCATTTTTAAACCAGAGATTTCGAATTGCATTTTCTCTATGAAGCAACCCGAAGCCAATATTTCGTCACTTTCATGCGTTGCTTCCGGACTGGGCTTTGAAAAATCCGTGTACAATCCCAAATCAGGATCTCCGGCCTTCATATTATCACAAAACGTCATAAGCCACATGAAATCTTCGCGGAAGCTTGTTCTTAGAGATCGGAAATTCTTTACAAAATTGCCATCGTGTCGTATACAGTTTTCCATGACGAAATTGTCGAATATTCTAATGGCCTCGTTCAGAACACAGTCGAGTTCGTCGATCATGTCGATGATCGGATCGTCGTATTCGTTTGCAAACCTAGATCTTATCACATCGGTATTGACGTTGTACTTGATTTTTAACTTGAGATTTTTTTCCACGATCGCTGCCCACATATTGTGCAGTTCCTTTGAAAACCGCGTGAAGTGAATGTGGGCGGTGAGTATTTGAAATATGTTATCATTTGACATTTTGAAGTCATAGTCCGAGTGAAGTTGACCCATGCACAGACCGTAAAGTTTTTCTCGAAAATCTCTATTTCCGAACAAATTTCGACGATCAAGACAAACCGCAGATTGCTGTTCCATCAATTGTATTGCATTGCCTATGCTCGCTTTGAGTTCTCGCATGTCCCTGATCACCGTGAAAGTGGTTAGGCTTGCGTACTTGGCTAACGTGCATTGATAAGCTGTTTTGATAACGTTGTGGACTAATCCGAATTGCGTCACAGCACGGTCGTGGGTTAGTTGCGAAAAATAGTCCACAGCTCCCTTAACGTCGACGGGGACTGTTGAGCCATAGGCATTTTTCAAAAGTACACTCTGGTCCATAGCTGCGTCCCATTCTTTAAAGGTGGTTCCGCCGTTTATCATTTTTCTTAGTCCATCCAAATCTAAATTGTCAACCGTAAACGGTATGCAATAAACACCGGAAAAACACAATAGAATCACGGTAAAACGACTATTCATGATACTATTGTTTTAATATTTTAGTGGCGTTAAATACTCACTATGGTATAAGAAACACTGAAACATTTTTTAATTGTCATTTCAACCTAAAACGCGTTTTCAATATAGGTTAACTATAATGTTAAAACTGATTTCAGTATAACTGTTGATTTAGATACGTTGATATTTTTTGTTTGTTTTTTTTTGTGTTTACTTATTATGTATCTAAATGTCAATTCAGTTTACTTAAAATGTTTCTAACTTTTAAAAGGAAATATTACACATTTTGGTTTTTTTAACAATGTCAGCATTTTATATTTTATTAAATTTAAACAATTTTTCATTGTTAAGCAAGCTACATATTATTTGTGTGTATACAAATTTGCTCGACAAAGAATTAGTTTTAGTTGTCCATTATGTAACTTAAATGACAATATAAAATAATCGCCTGGACGTGACAATTTTAACTGACAGTTAAGTCCAAGGTGATAAATATATATTTTTTTTTTTTGAGTGTATACACGTTTATGAAATTTATACTTTGAATAAGTTGAATGGTTATTTAAACCAAATTTTATGACTTAATGATTACTTTGAATAAAAATAGTGACATTTCTAAAATTTAGACTTGCTCGCTCTTAAAAATCACCAAAAATCGTGACGTTGTTTTTAGGCTTTTTTTCAATCTTATATCTTATGTCTTATCAGTTGATTTTCTTATCAATCGCTATTGTTATCAATGTCCATCAATAAACCGTATACTATTAGTTGATAAGACCATAATGGTCCAAAATGCTGACAAAAACAATGTATTGTTGAAATTATTTATAATACCTGAAAAATAAAGTGTTAGCAATGCTTGTGATCAAATTTTTATTGAAGTTTTTTTTATCACGTTGACGGTATTTTCTCGATTAGATCTAATCCTTTATTTTTGTACCGATGAGACAACAGCTAACCGTTTTCTCTGGGCATTATCAGCTATAGGTAGGTACTCGATAAATTACCGTATAGGTATTGACATTATATCTATGGTTTTGTTATCAACAATTCAACCGTCGTTACGATACGTCAACGTTAATGATGGTGAAACAAAATATGAATAATAATAATATAGTCGTTTCGATGCGGTTGCGGCAAACACATTAATAACATTAAACGGCCGGAAGACTGTTTACAAGAACACACTTATTCTTATCGGCGAATGCATGTAGTATGTATACCCGTGTATTATTAATAAATGATAATTTCCATTTTTTTATTATTATTATCGTCTACCACTCGACAACAGCAGCTGCTAAAAAAAAAAAAAAAACATTGCCGTATATTTTGTCCGGGTCTAAATAAATACCACCGTTTGGTCTTCTACTACACTGCAACGCAGGAATCGCGTTCAAGGGCAAAAGGATGTGTCGGTTTTCTTGCACATCCATTGACGCGGTTTGTGCGCAGTTGTAAAAGAAGATAATACCATCGTGACACGCGACTATTAAAAATATTTTTTCCACTAGAATTGTCTGGAATTTGCCAAAAAAAAAATTGACCATACATAAGATCATAATATATTCCCAAGAAGAACACACACCGAGACGATCGACCGACGACGCAAAAGTAATATTATCGGCCAAATTTATATATTTTTATAGTAATACAATAACACCGTGTGTACTACAGCTATGAGCTTGGCAAACGTTATTAAGGCTAACGTCGAGAAAAACAACAACAGACAACAGTCTATTGTAAATTATTGGCGAAACGACGTTTTCACTGTTGACGACATATGTTTCGTACGCCCGTTTCAGTGGGATACCGTTTAAAGATCTAATAGCTTTATTATTCCATTATATGCGCAATTTGTTTGTCCGGTTTAGAGTCGTGTTTTCATTGAGATGTATTTATGTAAATAATGTTCAAATGGCCCAAACCACGTCAATTGCAAGCTGACCGGACTAGATCCGCTTTTCTTAAAATAAGAACAGCGAAGGTCAGGTCAGAATTAGATGTAAACCCCAGAAGGTACTTTAGCCTCATGCTAGATCTATCTTCAGGCTACTAGCACGACAAGGTCCAACCAACAATCTAACCATTCCCTATACTTGGGGGTAGTATTATTCATTTGAAAATTACTTAAAATCGATTCCAAACGATATGAATAATGCGATTTTGTTGACAATGAGATCTAGCTCTTAAATCGGATTAAGTTTACTTTAATGGTTTTAATCTAATGAGGTCTAAACTCCACAAGACCTCCTTTAATTTGTGTCAACAGACAACCGTTGTTAAGGTTATTTTGAAAATCCCACAAATTGCATAATTAATTTGATATTTTTAACAAATTTTATATGTATAACTTTTATAAATTTACATAATTTTTTCTTTATTCATTTATTAATTTCTCTAAACGATTTTAACATTAGATTACATATTTTATTATTGTCAATGTATGTTTTGGATATTAGATCCCACTTTCATCGTGTTGGTCTTCGGGAGTCTGAAAGAAACGTACAAAATTGTTAATAATGGATATGAGTTTGGTTTTTGATAGTTCCTGTTAAAAACCAGATGTGTATTTAACTAGCAACCTATCTTATTATTTTCGCATTACGATAGAACTTTTTTGTCACTAACATAGAATTTATAGTATTTAAAAAAAAATGCTATGTAAATCAAACAAAAAACTTTAAAGGTTAGAAAATCATGAAATACTCTTAAATTGCATAAGGTACAGTTTAAATGATGTACAAGCAGTATTATAGCCAGAAATTGATTCCAGAGAGAGGGCAACTTGGCAATACTTCATCATTCTCATTGTCAGTTATATAATAGTCATGCTCGTTTTGCTACAGTGCTTCTTAATATCTTAATACTTATAAACTTACATGCTTATCGTCTGCTTCACCGATGCTTTCAAGTTGGCGTTGAGATGGAAGATCTTCGAACGAATTTTCTTCATCGCGAAATAGTACCATACCTACTTTTACCTTGTCTTTTGAGTTATCTTCGATTGGACGAGCATCCCTGGTTGATTCTATAAGTGTCATTTGAAGGGTTTCGGATCTGCCAAAATATAATAACAGTAAATTCTATATGATAGAGGATGTACAGGGTGTTTCTTAAAATATTTGCAGTTTTCTGTTAAAAAAATGAAAATAAGTATACAAATTTGATAGTTAAGTAAACCTGAAGACGGTTTGAACAAGTGCAACCAAGGAGTAAGGATAAAAAATTTCCAGGACAGCTGATTTTAGTTGGGGTAGACTCTAAAAGCTCAAGAAAAAGAAGAAGAAGGATTATAATATTGTAGTGACCAACTAATAGTATTTTTTTTCAATGTAACCAAATCCAACTTTCTCGTTTTGGACCTTCTAGTCTCTATTCATTAGCTTATGCTGTCTAATCCCCATTTCCAACCCACCCAGGAAGTTCTTTGAGTTCTGAATTTATAGCAGCATGTAATAATATTTGATATCATACCGTTCAACGATGTCTTGGCCATACATTTTCGCTGGATCGTTGGTGTTTTGAAAATCTGTCCTCAAACCAGAAATCTCGAATTCCATTTTCTCTATGAAGCAACCCGAAGCCAATATTTCGTCACTTTCTTGCGTTGCTTCCGGACTGGGCTTTGAAAAATCCGTGTACAATGCCAAATTAGGATCTCCGGCTTTCATAGCGTCGCAATATGTCAAAAGCCAAATGAAATCTTCGTGGGTACTCGTTTTTAGGGATTGGAAATTCTCTACGAAATTGCCTTCGTGATTTCCACAATTTTCCACGACGACATTGTCGACCATTTGAATGGCCTCATTGAGAACACAGCTGAGTTCGTTGATATTTGCGATGGTCGGATCGTCGTATGTGCTTGTAAAGTTATTTGCCATCACATCGGGGTAGATTTTGTACTTGATTTTTAAACCGAGCTTCTTCTCAAGCATGTCTGCCCATACATTGTGGATTTGCTTGTATGGTTCCTTTTGGAAATCGTGGTGGGGCAGAAATTGATATGCGTTTTTCCCAAATTTAACGTCAACGTCTAATTGATGTAAGACCGATTGAACATCTTTAAACGATGTCTGACGATCAAACTTTGAAACCGAAAGCTTCGCCAAGGCATCGGTGATGTCGATTTTGTAGTTTTCCAAGTCCTCGACTATCAAGAAAGCGGTTAGGCTTGCGTACTTGGCTAACATGCATTGATGAGCTGTTTGGATTATGTTGCGGATCGATTCGAATTCTCTCACAGCACTGTCATCATCTTTCTTGGCAAACTCTTGCACAGCGTTCTTAACGTTAACGGGCGTTTTTGAGCCTTTTGGAATTACAGTTTGGTCCAATGCAGTGTCCCATTCTTTAACGATGGTTTCGCCTTTCAAAATTTGTTTTAGTCCATCCAAGTCTAAGTTGTCGACCGTAGACGATATGCAATAAACGCCGGAAAAGCACAATAGAATCACACTAAAATGACTATTCATATTGTGGTAATATTTCAATGGCGTCGAATACTTGCTGTAACTTACTGTAACACTAAAACATGTTTGATCGTCGACCTGTAACGTTTTCAGAATACTTTTCAAAAAACTACATTTGTTTATAGCACAACTGTTGTTTTATTTTTATTAGTTGTTTACCTAATTTTGTATACGTTTATGAAGATTTTAATATCACAGCACAAAAGGTTTTAGAACATCTGTTGACTTGTGCTTATTAGTTGTTTATCGTTTTCTGTATACATTTTTTAAGAACTCAGACCAAATTTATACCAGGTTTCCCTTAACCCAGCATTTTATATTTTTTATGTTTATTTTCATAAGCGACTATTGGTTTAGAATGAAAATAACATTGAGGATTTTTTGTTTAAAAAAACAAATGACTACATTTTTTTACTTATTCACTGTACACATTTTTAGTATTTTTTATAGCCTTATCAATTTTTTAATACTTAAATGGTAACATATATTATGTTTTATTGATATTTTCTATTGAGAATAATTTGCTGAAAATGTTGACTGGTTTTGTAGGTGCTAGACACTTAAAAATTTAGGAAGGGACGAAGGGTGGAGTGTGGGATTAGAGTAGAAGTCGAAAGTTTCATCATATTTTTCTTAATTAAAGTTTCAAAAGTTAATAAGTATAAATCTCTGTAGGGCTGTATTAAAAGAATGTACTGTATATTATATTATTTTAATCTACAATTAGGTGTTATTGTGTTAATATTATACTTTTTGGGAAATATTAAAAGTCGGCCCATCGCTAATATTGGCCGCTGGCATGCAAATTTTTGTACGTTTCAATGAACTTATTTATTATATTATAATGGACACTGGACAGCATGTGTATCGTTTTCATTGCGCCAACAGCAAAAAATAAAATAACATTGTAAAAAAACAAATTTACATCATTTTTTTTTTTAATATGTGCAATAATAATTTAAATAGAAGGGGAAATCGCCACTTCTAGACGAGTTCGGGTTCGGTTATTATTTTTTTTTCCTTCGCCACCGTATCTGATTTCTGCTCTTACGTCAATGGTTGAGAAAATAAAAAACAAAAATGGCAACAGGCGGTATATTATGTACGTATGTAGGTAGGTATAGGTATATATCGTTTTGGAAGAAATAACAATAATAACATAAAAACTAAGACGCGCAAATTCGTCGCAGGTCTTGAGATTTTATTTCTGTTTTCGGTTCCGGTTAAAGTAAAAACAAAAATCACTGACCGAAACCGTCATTCTGTTGTCAAAATATATTATACATTTTTGGTAAATAAAAATCTAAGTAGTTTTCTATAATGTATACATATATACCTACGAATATGGCTGTGAAAATATCTATAGTCTTGGCTTAACATACCCCCCCCCCCTTATTCTTAACTAAGTCAAAATGTTTGACCAGTTTGAAACTTAGAAACACACACATATATATAATAAACTAGATTGCTAAGTAACCGTTTTCTGCCATCTTTGTGGGAATTTATAACCTTATCACATGTTTACAGCTGTTATCACTGTTGATAACAATTGCAAGTTGGCAGCACAGAATCGTATATATATATATATATATATATACGATATATATACGATATATATACGATATATATATATATAGAGAGAGAGAGAGAGAAACAAAAAATGTTTAAAGCCATATCAAACATGTTTTGAAAAAAGTATATTATAGTTAAACACCGATAAAAGGTTTATTGTATTGTTTATCTTTATTAATAATAGGTAATAACTTTATAAAAAACGTTTATCATTTTTTAATTTTTTTTGAAGTCCATTTATTAAAAAACCACATTGAAAAATTAGATGTGTGAATGATATGATTGAAACGCTTACACTTGAACAATTATATGGAAAAAAAACAAATTTCAAATGTCAAAATAGTAAGAAAATACCATTAACCACAACTTATTACCAACTAAGCCAAATGGTACTACATAATGTCTGTACATACAGGAATAAAGCTAATTAAATAACTTGAACTAAATGCGGTCTTTCAATTTTATTTTATTTTTTTGTTTCTACGTTACAAATTAATAGTGTACATTAATTGTAAACTCATCGCTCCCACCACAAGTCATTTTTACAACTAAATGGGCCACCAGATTTGCTTTAAGTCGAATTACAACCCCACTGGAAAAAAAACAACCTCCAAAAAGTTATGTCCCAAATTTTTGGGTTATTTTTTTTTTTCATTCAAACCTGGTAAATAATAATATTATGGAAAAGTTCGGTATGTGCAGATATAAATTGTGTTTTCGTTGTTGTTGTTATTGTTTTTTTTACTTCTTCAATAACTCCACACACTCGTTGGCCATAAAAAAGTTTGAAAAAATGTGTTTTCCGTTTGTACTATTTGTTTTATTACTATTATCGCGCACACACGACTTGGTGTACTTGCCTACCTATAGAGTTTTTCGCATTAGTCATTCAGTATGTGTGTGTGTGTTTACAGTGACTAAAAAAATATGTTAAAAAAAATACACGAGGGGTTGTTGTTACCCGCGTTTAAAAATCTGTAAAAATGTTAATGAAAAAGAATGTATAAAACGTTTTGTCTACCAAAAATATGTCTGTACATAAAAATAATGCAAAAAAATCATCTACTGAAACTTGTATACACACAAACATAACATGACTGTATGTGTATGTGTATTGTAAAATTTATAATTAAAAAATAATAACCAAAACTCCTAGCCAATTCCTGTAGTAAAAATATATAATTGTAAAAAATATAGTATATATAGAAAATGTCTGCTGAGCAAAAGACATCATTACAATTGAGAATTTGTATTGATAAATCTGCAAACGGCGTGTGTTGGCATAATATTGTAGATTTTTTTTGTTTTTGACGGTTTATTTGCATAGTATATTTTTTTGGAGCACTTTTTATTACTGTTGAAAAAAAACACCAACAAATTTTTGTTTTATCCCCGTATTATACTAAAGCGGATTTGTATTCATATTTTAAAGTAAATATATAACTCATAATAATAATAATTTAATAGTAATCACCATTATTATTATAGAACTATCCATCATTTAAAAAAAAAATGATGAATAGATTGTACATTTAATTATGCATAAAATTCACATTTGAAATATTCATATTTTCAAGCCAAGGTCATAGGTACTCTAGTAACAATATTTATATATTTATATTAAGATATAAATATATTTATATATTTTTATTAAGATATAAAATGTATACATTGAATGAATACGGTCCGTTTCTAATTTCGATACTTTGTACTACAAAAAAATGATGCCTATTTATATGTTTTACTAACCAGAAATCAATTAATACACATTAATTATGTCTATTTATGTTTTACAATAGAGATTTATTACTCTGCACATAGTTTTATAGTACTAGCCACTAGGTAGGTATAATATTATTGTTCTAGTGGGGTTATTATCCCTAAAGTGGAAACTGAATTCAACAAGTTGTTTTTTTGGAAAAAATGCTATTCAGTTAAAGATCAATCCGTCTGATTTTTGGTAACGACTATTTTAAACCGTTTTTAAAAAATGCAAAAAAAGTGTAAAATTTAACAAGTTTAACATATGATAAGATATGTACACATTACTAAACAATTGTTTTGAAATTGTTTATAGAGTTATAATTTAGTAAACATTTTGATTTTCAACACATCACATCACAGTCTGCACGCTAATTCCTTTTAGCGTGTAATTATTATGTCGCCGGTAAATAATCGCTTTATCCGTACTATTATTAATATGTTGTTCATATTATTATTATTATTATGAGCGTGTGTACGCGTTACACCGGCGACGAGCCGCAGTTGTTGTTGTTGTTGACCGACGCCGATGTTGTTCGGATGTTCGCGACGACGTGGCGGTGGCGGCGGCGGCGCTGGTGTGCCCGCAGCGCGGCCGGCTGTGGCCGCGTCGGTGGGGAGGCGGCTCGTATAAAACCCGGCGGGACGGTGCGGCGCGCCGGTAGTGCGTCAACAGCTAGAACGACGTGAGCAGCAAACACCGCCGCCACCGCCGCCACCGCTTTTGGTTTTTTTTAAGCGAGGAGACCCGCCGCCGCCGCCGCCGCTGCCGTGTTACTCTCTTGGTACCATTTTTTCGTTGCCGGCCAGAGAGATAGATAGAGAGTGCGAGCGAGCGCACACAGCCAAAACCGGTCAACGACAATATTTAATATATTCATCCCGTGGCACGGATTGTATACCTGTTGTATATATAACAATATTTTTATACCAAAATAATATTACGGAAAATAGTTTTTTTTTTTTATTAAATAGTGTGTGCGCTAGTCCGTGTTTTTTTTGTTAAATTTTTGTTTCGTGGAAAAAAAAAATAGTATAATCGACTTTCGATCCGTGGTCGCGCGTCCGTCGAACACAGTGTTGTTGTTGTCCATTGTTGTTATATTCGTCGGACGGAATATTTTATAGAAGAAAAAAAAAAACAATTGCACACACACACACACAAAGATAAGAGTATCAGCTATAAATTTTGGTTTTTTCGTTATTTGTTAATCCGTGGTCTACCTGCGCGTGCACGAACCCACCTCGCCCGCTATCAGTTTTCCAGACCGGTTTTTAATAGTAATAATAATACTCATTATTATTATTGGCCATTGTCGAAAAACCCGCGGTGCCGGAAAAAAATATTTATATAAAATAATATAGAGTCCGTTATTTATATATACACTTAGTCAATATATATATAACAGGCGAACGGCAACGTTTTTTTTTATTCGCCGGCGGACGTTCCAACAGTGCTGTGATATTAAATTTACGGAAAATAATATATTTAAACTCTTATTTTAAATTTATATTTGTTGATTAATTATTAAAAAATTAAGTATCCGACCACCACCACACGCAGCCGTCAGCTACCTCACCGTCTTGAATAGTATTGTAGTAATAATATATACCTATTGAATAAAGAAAAAAAAAAAAACGTTCTCAACGCTCACAGCCAACAAAATGGTCGAAAGCATCATCGAAGAAACGCCCGGGCAGACTGAAAGCACCCAAAGTGAGTATATTTGAAAAAAACACATGGTAAGCTTACTTTGCACAGAGCACCTTTTTCTCAACAAAACACCTATAAATATGTCAAAGGTGCCCGTGTAAAAGTAAACTATATAATCTGTACCGATCGTTGTGACTAATCTGTTTTGCGTCTTTGTCGTAGACGACCCGGTCCAGATCAAGTCTGAGTCTCTGTCGCTGCGCAAGGAAGAGGCTCGCAACAAGAGAAAGAAGAAGAAGACCACCAACAGCTTGGTGACGTCGTGTTTCCAAGGTAACGTCAGCACTATCATGATAGTCCCGTATTTTTATAGTTTTTAAGTGTTTTTTAAGCCAGCTCTGTTCACCTCATCAGAGTGTAGTTCTTGTAACAAAAATAGTAACTATGTTACTGTTGAAAGTTCATAAATCCCATGGCGCTCAGAAAGGTACAGCCTTTCAAATTACGTATGAGAATATTTTAAACGCAATTAGCGTTCAACGTAATTTCGAAAACGATTGTTACCTACTTTTTATAAACTAGTTTTAGTCCAATACAACACGTCATGTTAAAGTTACTATTAGAAATTTACAAAAAGTGACTGTTAAGTTACGAGTTGACTGAAAAAGGGAAATGGAGTTAAAGTTAAAAATCAATATTTGTCAGGTCAACTAACATTTTTTTTGCGATCAAATTATAACTGACAAAATATGAAATCACGTTTTTATTTGAAAAAAAATGAGTAACAAATTACTTAATTTCAACTGTAATTATTATTAAATAGGGTAATATTTTATTTTTTTTTCGAGTGGAAATAATAATAATAGAAAATAAATTGTTTTTAATAAATTGCCCAGATCCGATTGAATAAAGAAAAAGTCGAAGGGAAGACAAACGCATTTTTCTTGTTTTAAGTTCTAGTAAATGAAACGGTTTTAAAGTTTTTAAACAATATAATACTACTAGTTATACATTTTTCGTTTTATACAATAACTAATTAAAATCATTTTTTTTTTATTACAGATGCATACAGGTTAACTGGTGAAGTGTTGGGCCAAGGTGCTTACGCATCTGTCCAAACTTGTGTGAGCGTGTTAACGGGTCTTGAATTTGCCGTCAAAGTTATAGACAAGATTGCAGAACACGCACGGGCTCGTGTGTTCCGCGAGGTCGAGACTTTCTACCATTGCCAGGGTCACCCGAATATCATTCAAATGCTCGAGTTTTTCGAAGCCGACGACAAGTTTTACATGGTTTTTGAAAAAGTCAGGGGAGGACAGCTGTTGGACAGAATTCAGCAGCGCAGGCGATTCACCGAGCACGAGGCCAGTATGATTGTCAAAGATCTGGCCAGTGCGTTGAATTTTCTACATCAGAAAGGTAAAATCGCCTAGTCCAATTCATTTACGTCGCAAGTACATAATATTAATTAATATGTTTTTTTACCCTTATCAGGAGTGGCTCATCGTGATTTGAAGCCGGAAAACATCCTGTGCGTGGATCCCGTGGATTTGACTCCCGTCAAGCTTTGTGACTTTGACCTCGGTTCCGGCATCAAGTTGAACCCCGTCGACGGCAGTGCCACGCCTCAGCTGTTGACTCCGGTGGGAAGCGCAGACTTCATGGCGCCCGAAGTGGTGGACGCGTTTGTCGGAAGCCCAGACTCCAACTATCACTACTACGATAAACGCTGTGACTTGTGGTCGCTCGGAGTGGTCATGTACATACTGTTGTGCGGATACCCGCCGTTCTACGGAAACTGCGGCTCCAACTGCGGATGGGAATCTGGAAACGCGTGTCCGGAATGTCAAGTGCGTAAAGCAAAGCTATTGCACACAAACACTTACTAGTTTTCGAAATATCTTAACACGCGATTTTCGATTATTTCAGGGTTTGTTGTTCATTAGTATTCATGAAGGGCGGTACGAGTTCCCGGATCGCGAGTGGGCCGACATCTCGTTCGAAGCCAAAGACCTGATCAGCAAATTGCTCGTCAAAGAGGCCAGCCTCCGTCCGAGCGCTGCCGAAGTTCTCAACCATCCTTGGGTGCACAGACAGCAACAAGAGAAGCCCAAGAAAGATCGGGAACTCAGCACGCCCGGTGTGATTAGACGCAACAACAGCGCACGGGCCCTTTCTACTTTCGCAGAGTCCGCCATGTCGGCCAACCGAGTGTTCCTGCAGCATTTCAGCCTGTTCTCGTCTCCAGATTTGCCTCAGGCCGCCGCCAAAAGACTATCTCCGCCATCGCATTCCATGATTGTCCAACGTAGGTCGCTCGGAAAGCCGCAGTGTTCCAACGAGACTACCGCTAGCCGGCCGCTCGCTCCATTGCCGATCATCGCGTCTCCTAGCGGTTAAGTTTTGTCGTGTGTAAAGTAAAAAATAAAAAAAAAACGAAAATGACCCAAAACCTCTCCCAATTTTTTTTATATTTATAAAAAATTGTTAGCAAACAAAAGTTTTGAAGAAAAAAAAAGTATGAATACAATAATAATATATAAAATATGAAATTGACAATTTTTTTTTTCTGCGTTTTTAACTACATAGTTCTAAATTATTTTTTTTTTAAGACTACAAAAATATTTGCAATAAATGTTATATAAGATTAAAAATAATCGTTTGGTTATATTATTATTATTATTATTATTAAATATTATAAAAATGTTAATAAATTTAAAACGAGACATATTTTTGTACTTTGAAAAAAAGCTCAGTCTTCTAAACGAAAAAAAAAAAATGATGTAATAATAATTTGTGATAATTCCAAATGTTTTGTCAACATTAAAATGATTTGTGTATTTAAATGGTGCCATTAAACGTATAAGCTTTTCGGGTACGGTTAAAGAAAAATCAACAAGTTTGTTAAATTGTATTTTTTTAATTTATTAAATATATATATATAAGTATATATTATTTTTTTTTTTTTTATAAACCCAACAAGGTACCTAAGTAATTTAGGACGCGTAGGTCAGTTCGCAGCAACTGAGTTTATAAATTGTATTTATATATATATATATATATATATATATATATATATATATATATATATATATATATATATGTGTATATCTATTAAATCCAAAACTAATGTCTTACTTTTTAAAGATAGATATCAGGTGCCATTTCTTTTCTAATAAAATGTAATGTACTGTAAGATTATGGAAAAAAAAATGATTTAAAAAAAAGGCTGTCACGCATAGAGTTTAAGATATTAACTTGTGTATTTTATAATATTACTATGTGAAATGAAATATGAAATGTTTTTTCTAATAAAAAAGATATTTATACAAAGCAATGCACGTTAAAACTAAATATTGTTATTGAAAAAGTACATTTTGTTTTGTTTTTTTTTTTTTCTTTAATATGTATTGAAATAATAAATATTTTTGAAGAAAAGAAAATCTCTAAATAATTGTAACGTTACTGTTGTGTGTGGTTACTGCCTCGACGAACAACTTTATGTCATCTGGGAGACTGTAAAAAAACTGTTGATCGTACGTGACTAGTTGTTGTCGTGCACTCTTTACCGAAACTATCCTAAATTGACAATTTTGAAAACTATGATATTGTGAAAAGTCTAGTAAATTGCTAAAACTAAAAAAAAAAAAAAACAACATCTACGTTGTTTCGCTTACGATAAATGCCTGCGATTACACAAAATTATTTAAATACATTTTTTTATCGTTATTATTAATATTTGAATATATTTTTTATTATTTAAATAAAACATAATACCTTAAGCTTGCACAAATCGACTGGTAAACAAATTGGCGTGGTCGCAATTTATTAAAACCTCTTGATCCTTAAAAATATCGCCTATACAAAACTCCTTAAAAACAGACCGCATGCAACTCCAAAATCACATGAGTAAATAATTGAATGATTAAAAATATTATAAGGGGCAAATATAAATCGATATCGATATGTTTTTTTATTATATTGAATGACAATGGACACATTTTGTGTACATTTATAAATATATATATATTAGTAAAATAATAACACTAGCATTTATGTGGTATTTCTGCACAAACAATATACTTACTAATAAACAACCGGGTACAGACTTCAGTGTTCAATTTTTAAGTAAACAAAGATGGGTCGTTCGATAAAATAAATAAAGTTTAAGAGTTATTTAATTAACCGTTTTTCGCACAATACACAACCGTTTGCAAGTCAAAATTACATGCACACCTTTTATGGTACCTACATAAAATGTCAACACAAATACAATTAAAAAATTAGGAACAAGTGCAGTTTAGTTCCCACACGCTTTTTTCAAATTTTTTTTTTGGACTATATGTACTTTTTTACGATAAAAATTATGGTGAAGTCAGATTTTGGGTGTCGGACTTACTTTTAAAGTTATAAGCAAAAACTTAATTTTCGTCATTTTTTAAAAAATGCAATAACTTGGTGAAAATGAACTTTAAAAAAAAAAAAAATTTTGTTTCAAAATACGTTTTTTTATAAGGCTAAAAGAATGGCGCAAGCCAAATTTTAATATCATACTTACTTTTCATCAAGTTATAAGCAATAACTTCATTTTCGTATTTTTTTTTAAAAACCCCATAACTTTTTTAAAAATCAACATTTAAAAATGTTTTCTTCTTCGTTATATTCGTTTTTTAATTTTGAAGTTTTTGGTAAAACCAGAATTGCTCTAGCTTAATTAACTATTGAGTTATTCGTAAAACAAAGGGGAAGGCGATTTTTGCGTGTAGACAAAAAACGGCAGGTCGCCGGGTATTAGGCAGTGATGTTCCCATCAAATTTGTCGAGGGTATACTCAGCACAATTGTAACAAAAAAGTGTCAAGGAGCTAAAAAAAAAAAAAAAAGTCTTCCATATGCAATTTCCAAGTATATAAGTTCCAGAGTATAACCTTGGTGTAATAAAGAAATGAGTGTTTTAATGATAAAAAACAAATTTTTTATAACTTACAAAAACTATATAGATTTATATATATATATACATATATCTTTATATATTTTTTTTTAAACATTTGTATTAAACTATGTATATTATTTATGTACGGGACGGGTTATGCATCTGGTGATGGAAGATAATATTTGAAAACAAAATAATATAACCGACGAGAGACGTCCTAGCGTCGGCCGTTACCGCTATAATATAGTGATGCGCACACGCAAAATCGCCTTTACAGTTTTTTACGAATAACTCGATAGTTAATTAAGCTAGAGCAATTCTGATTTCACCAAAAACTTCAACATTTAAAAACGAATATAATGAAGAAAAACAAAAATGTTTAAATGTTGATTTTTAAAAGAGTTATAGGGTTTTTTAAAAAAAAAATGAAGTTTTTGCTTATAACTTCAAAAGTAAGTCCGACCCCCAAAATCTGACTTCACCATAATTTTTATCGTAAAAAAGTACATATATTGCAAAAAAAAAAAAAAAATTTGAAAAAAGCGTGTGGAAACTTAACTGCACTTATACCAAACCCAGTTGTTATACATAAAAAAGCAAAAAATAAAAAATTCGTTTTCTACATATCCTAGTAAAGTTGCCAGAGAACTCTGATTTCTTTACATAATTGAAATCAGACCAACCTAAGTAGTCGACATTTTGGTCTGAAACGTCAAAAAAATAGACCCCCCCCCCTCTTCAGGTGTAAAAACTTATTTTATCATATAAAATATTGGCGAGTACCAACCTAACCGCGCTCGATAGATTTGTTTTCTTTTGTGTGGTCATACTGATTTTAGTCCTTCTGTTTACTTCACTGTGGCGTAAAAGCTATTATAATGTGTTAGTTCATATCTTTATATAATATACATAATTACTTGAAACCAATAATGAGTTAAACTCATCCTTACAGTCGTCGTCTGGTACCGAGAAAATTGTCTTAGACCAGGAATAATCCGTCAAAAGACCCGCCGCAAGTGACGACGACTTCACGAAAAAATTCAAGTAACCGAACAACTACAAAGAAAATGCCCATCTTACATTGTTCTTCAGACCAAAAAATGAACACCATAATGAAAACAGTCGTATTCAAAATTTTAACATACTACGCGTTAGGTGTGTAAAGATATGTTTAAAATGAATTTAAAAATGTTATGTTACCCAACCTGACCTATAACTGTTATCGTTGGCAATGAAGATAATCGATAAAGATTATTTAAAAGTTAAAACTACGGTTTAAGTAATAAAATCAAATTTACATATTTATTTCTAATAACTCATTGTTATCAGATAATATTTTTTTATTTATGTTATTATATAGTTGAATGCTGAGGTTTAGGTTTGCTCCTGTTGAACCCCAATTTCCTTGAACCTCATTTACCTCAAGAGTAAAGTTTTTTCTTGCTGTTCTAAGACGTTTATTCCCCACGATAGACGGCAAAATTATTTCCTATAACTATAAAAATCACAAACATTTTTTTCAAGAATATTAAAAAAAAAAAAAACCAAGAATTTATGACTAGAGGTGAAGTGTAGTTGAGTAATGCGTTTTAATAACTTGAAAAGAGTAGATATTAATAACTAGTTCAACTAGTCAAAATTAAATTCTTATCTATGATATATTTTATTGAGTCTACTATAATAAACGCGAGATAGTTAATTATAATGACAGGCAAATGGAAATTGACTGTCTTTTGAAATATTTTTCCTTTCAATATAATTGCACAAACAATACAATGTGTTTCACAAAATAATTTGTATTAAAAATTAGTACAAAACGGCCGCATTACTATAATATTATTTACTACATTTTTTATGCATTTGAAATATTGTAATTACACACCTATTTTTGATACTTGAAAATTTATCCATTTACAGGTTCTAAAAATTTGCCAATCAGCTGTCTTTCTTTACAAAAAATAATATTCTAATTTTATTATCTGCAGTTTTTTTGAGTCAAGGAATTATTATAAATTAATCAAAGAAATTATATTATTATATAAATAAACGGTTCGATACGGCTTTGAAGACGGTAAAAGTATTAAACATTCAGAAATACATATTTTAATTGTTAGTTATTGATTGCATTTTTGTTTTATAAATAAAATTATCCATAATTTAGAAATTATCAATAATTTTTAGAGAATATCGGTGGACAATCGGTTAGGATCAGTTTTCTCATTCAGCTGAGCAAAGAATGTATTCATCATTTTTAGAAAAATGTACTCTTCTGTATACTACTTGCTACCAAAACATGATGAAATTCTATAATATTATTATAATCTTACGAAACAAACCATTATTTCAGGCATACATGCATTTTCAATAAAACAATTTAAGGTGCTTAAACTTTGCATTTTCCAAGTATTTAAATGTAAATTTTAATTCAAGAAGTTGATAGTTTTTTGAGCAAGGATATTGTATAACTTGAGTTATTGGCATTTTAATTTTATAACAAAATATTAAAAAAATTATTACAATTTACAGGTATTTTATACAAGTTATAACTTATACGTTTAGTTAAAATACTTATTTTTACAAGAGGCTTTAAACTAAAATCGCCAACAATTTTTAAATAAAAACAGGACAATTATGTCTGTGCTTAAGAGGGACAATTTATTTTCAGAGAATGTTCATTGTTTAGCTTATTTTTTTCAGTATTTTTCGATAAATTATTAAAAATTGGTGGATGGAGTAATCGAAAACTAAAAAGCACAGATAACGTTTTCCTAGTTCTGTGAAAAAATGGTGGTTTTAAAACAATAATTCCAAGACAAACTTTGGTTTCGATTGATAGAAATCTATTTCTGGATTGTAATATTGTCTATAGAAAACACAAAATATACAACCAATAAAGAATAATATTGTCATTAGTGTGCATGTAGAAAATTTTACAAAAATCACTTTATTGCATCTTCTAATAGATAAATATATAATAATATAATTTTGTGTAAACGGGGAAAGCACGTCCTATTTATATATAGCCGACAAATAAGAATAGACAACACTTGTAACAAGGACATAATATTATGTGACCTTTTTGCCATAAAACCGTTGTCATCGACAATTATTACTACTGTAGTAATCTCATAATTTTGCTCAAACTAGCTCTATCGGCCATCTCTTGGATTAGTGATTTAATTTAATTGTATGAAGGCACTGCATGTTCTATATTTTATAGTTTACTGTTATAATAACTGATAAAATTGTTTAACAGCAAATGAATTGCTAAATACAAAAAGGCTCTCGTCCAGATTTTAAAACTATTTGGGAAAAACAAAAAACTTAACATTAAACTGTATACAAGTTTCATGCTATTAAATAATATAGCGTTAGACATCGTAATATCATTAAATTATTATAGAAATGTGTATAATATGATGTCTAATGCTATTAGTTACACTATTATACAATTTGGAGATATTATTATTGTTTATTGTTAACAATTTAAAATATTTTATTAAATAGTTTCGAAAACTATGTTATCAGCTATCTTATCATTTTTTTGTTTTGATTTAATTTCAACACAATATTTCATTTACAGTTTAAAACTAAAATATATTTAATTCAGCCGTTGGAATCTGATCATGTACGTTTAAACATTGTATTAATATTAAAATAGAGCTAATCACTTGTTTAGTTACCCAAGTATAAAAACCTCATGTATTCTAAAAGATACATTGCACATCTTCCTTTATTTTCATAGTAGTATCCAAAAAGATACAATGATCCTAATGGTAAAATACTATTTTATAAAAATAAAAAATAATTATTTACAATTTTATTTTTTTGTTCGTATGGGTATTTATTATACTATTACGGTAAATAAAATGCAACAATTAGTCTTAATTAATACAAATATACATATTGATTAGTTATATGTATATATAGTTCAAAGAATAATACTTTACGTAAATCATAAAATACACTCAATACATCTTTAAAAATACTTGCCATAATTAAAAATCTATTCATTAAAAAAAAAACCTCAAAAATGAAACCTACGGGTCTTAATTAGTGAAAAAAATCAAGATTGGAATTTTCGTATGAATTTTATATTTAATAATTTTTCTTTTTTAATTTAGGGTTGAATTATTGTAGAAAATTGTACATTCATGTCTAATGCTATCAGCTATATTATCGGATGGTCAGATTTCAATTCTGTTAAGATGCACGGGTTCTTGGACATCTTTACTAGTTTATGTAACAGATTATTTTTTTTAAAAATTAGATTTTAATATTGATAAAAATTGCAAATTTTAATTTAACTACGAGAAACTGTAATTATTAAATGAAAATCCGCTTCCTACAATAACAAGGTACGTAGTCGAAATTTTGTCTGGCCGTTCGGTCTTGAATAAACCAAAATGACTTACTCGTAGAAACAATTATAATCAAATAAAATACAATGCCTCAAGCTTGTACAAACCAACCGGTAAATCAATTGTCACGGTCGAAAACCTTTCTTAATTAAATATTGCTTATAAAAAAAAGCTATTTAAAAACAGACCGCGTGCAAGATTTTTCGAAAAATTGCCTATACCCAACGCCTTAATAAATATGGGCGGGCAGCGTCGTCAAACGGCGCATGCGCAAACGTGCTGGCCTGTGATAAGAACGGCGGCGGCAAACGGGTTATCACGGTAAATCGTTTGACCTTGAAATTTTACACAGGTGTTTATATCGATTCGGGAGTGTGTTGTGTATGTGTGTGCGCGTTTGTGCGTTTATGAATTTAATTAAAAACCGCGATAATGCCACTAAGTGCTTTAGTCGTTAAATTTAGTCGGCCGCGCCAAACGTAATGTAACGAGACAGTATTGTGGCGTTTTTTAGTCGTCGTGTGTTGTTTGTTTTGCCCATTTAAAAAAAACACCTACCCGGGAGAGTTCGGCCTAGGCGTTTTCGACGGTTGCCCACCGCTCAGGAAGACGTTTGCCGCCGACACACGGTAGACAAATAATATATAAATAACACTACAGCAGGAAAAAAGAAAATCATTCCGTCCACGGAAATGCATAGCCCGGACAACAGCGGTGCCGGCAGCGGGTAAACGACGACGCCGTGGGAGAGTAACGCCGCCGTTGATCTTGTCGAGTGCTACGATGCAGCATAGCAGCGGCGTGATCGGCAAACCAGACACGGTGAAAACGGTCAAGCACAATGGGGGCAACATCGCCGGCATGTACGATCTGGAACAAACGTTGGGCAAGGGACACTTTGCAGTCGTCAAGTCGGCGAGGCACGTGTTCACCGGCGAACAAGTGGCCGTCAAAGTCATCGACAAGAATAAACTAGAAGAAGTTTCCAGAAATCATCTTTACCAAGAGGTTAGCCAACGTTTTTGATTCAATCAATCACTCGTCCGAGATTAAAACCCCCGCCCCAATAATTGGTTTTGCAATTTACGTTAATATCGGTTGTTATTTAGCTTAGAGTCGTAACAATTATGGATAGCGATTAAAGTATCAGACATGGGCAAACAAGCTGAACTTACAAAACATGTATTTTCGTTAAAAATTCTCAAACTAGTTCAGTAAATATGTTTGCGAGTATATATTTTATATTAAGTACCAAAAGACAAGACTAGATCAAGGAAAATAAAACCAAATGGTTATATACATTATAGTCATGTTAGATAATATTGAAAGTTTCATTTAATCATTGTTAGACTTTATTATGTAATTTATTGTCCAGTTCCTTCATTCACTTAATGGCTCTTCAAAAGCCTTTTGTGGCCAACACTATTCTAAATTGTACAAAAAAAAACAGTTTTTTTAGTACCCACTTGAAAAGGTTGGATGTATCTAAGAAATACCGTTAATCATTTTATAGATATTTTGAATTTTTTTTTTTACAACTGTTCAACCATAATCAACTTATATTTTGCATGTTGTAGGCAAATCGGAAACTAAATAATTTAGGTAATATCATCAATATATTTCGTCGTTGCAATTACTCAGTTTTAGATAAAAGGTAGTGTTTAAAACTAGAACATGCTCCCATACGGCATTTAAATTAAAAAGTTCTTTTTTCATCAGTTCAGTCCGGTCAGAAATTTGAATAACAAATTTATTTTTTATTGTTTTAATCAAGTCTTAAATACTAGGTCAATACGGAATTTGGGAACATACTGTATGTTGTGCAGACGTACACTATTGTTTTATTCAAGGACACATATTTTTAAACGTAGCCATATGTACATATATTGTATATTTATAGCTGCTCAACTAGAACAAATTTTATTGGGTGTTTGTAGTGTAAAATTTTTAAGTCAAAGTCGGCTACTTTTCACACCGTGGTAACTCAATGTCCCGCACAGACAACCAATCGTAGTATTGATCAAGGAAAAATATATCATGTATAATGGAAAAACAGATTTATACATTTTAATAAAATTATGCGACCTTTTTTTTACGTGGAGTCTTATCCTTTTTTTAAAATATATTGCCGTAATACCTACGACCTGACCCCCAACCGTCAGAACGCTACAAGCATTTTCTAGGGTGCTATCTCGTAACCGCTGTAGTGCGTAAATAATTATTTCTTTAGAATAATGTATAGATAAGTTAATAATAGCGATTAAAACAGTTTATTTTACAGATATGTTGTTTGTATCCACTGATTAAATATTTATTTTTATTTCAACACAAAATAACCGATGATGATAAAGAGAGAAAAGTACTAAAACATCGTGAAATTAACTTGTTTTATTATATGTGTCATTTTTATCAGCATTTATTTTTAGTATTTGTTGTATTATTCATTATGCACTCAATGATAATTACAAATAAATGTATTTTGTTATTACAGTTTATATACAGTGTGGGTCACGAGTATAACACATACCTAATGACTACTAAATAGAGCAAATTAACATCTTACACAATAATATTGTAGACAAAGAAATTAAATTTATCATGTTTTTTGTTTCTAATCAAATTTCTTTATCAATTTTCTTGCAGGTTCGATGCATGAAATTAGTTCAACATCCAAACGTCGTCAGGTTATACGAAGTGATAGACACTCACAGTAAACTGTACATCATACTTGAACTGGCCGACGGCGGAGATTTATACGATTACATAATGCGACACGAAGGCGGACTGTCGGAACAACTGGCTTGTGAATATTTTGCCCAAATCGTAAGAGCGATATCGTACTGTCATAAATTACATGTGGTCCACAGGGATCTAAAACCCGAGAACGTTGTGTTTTTCGAGAAACAAGGCGTAGTGAAATTAACAGATTTTGGGTGTGTACAATTATTTTTGTAGTGTATTGGCCTTAAAAATACTATTACGATATTTTTTTTATTCAGTTTCAGCAATACATTTTGTCCGGGACAAAAACTTGAAACATCGTGCGGTTCTTTAGCTTATTCAGCCCCAGAAATTTTAATTGGCAGTTCTTATAACGCTACTGCCGTCGGTAAGTGTAGATTTAGTAACATAAATTGTGTTCTCACCCACCCCAAGCAACCTAATATAATTTTTAATTATTTTTTCTAGATATATGGTCCCTGGGTGTAATTCTGTATATGCTCGTATGCGGTGAAGCCCCATTTCACTCGGCCAACGACAGCGAAACCCTCACTATGATCATGGATTGCAAATACAAAGTATCCAGTCACGTGTCTGAAGAATGTAAGAATCTTATCGGCCGTATGTTGGTGCGAAATCCGGACAAGCGCGCGACTCTCGAAGAAATTGCCGCCGACGTATGGTTAAAAAAGTCTAAATCGTCAAACAACGACGAGAGTCCCTTAGTTTCCAAGCAGTTGATCAACGAGGACGATCACGCTTTAATTATTCAAAAAATGATAGCTGGAAAAATAGCCACTAAGGAAGAAATCGTCGAGTAAGTGAATACATTATCTTTAGCTTCGTTGCGGAGCAGAGCAGACCAGAGAATCTATTACAATGTTCAATAGATAGATTACTCTCAACTAAAAAGTCACATACGACATTTATAATAATAATTGCTTAACATTTTTGACCCTCCTCTCCGTCCCCTTTAAGCCGTTTTCAATTTTACTAATTGTTGTTCTTCTAATAGAGCTTTGGATAAGAACGAATACAATCATATAACGGCTACATATTACTTACTGGCAGAGAGAAAATTGAGTTCTACGACAAAGAAGAAATTTCAAACATCTAAAAAGTAAAAAGTTTAAGAGAGGATTATTACAATTAAATGTTTTATTAATGGTATAAATATATTTTTTTTTTTTTTAGTGCCAATGTTCCTCAAATAAAATTTGACAATTGTAGCGATAACAGTCCTGAAAAAGTCAGCGTAGCGCCTAAATCTGCAGTATTAGGAACTTTACTATCTGATCGCACCAAAGTATGATATACAACAACTCTTTTTATTCTATAGTAATACAAATATAGTTTGGTACTAATGGTTTCTTAATTACTTACAGAGAACTCGAAAGTGCAGTGTTGTCGTAGAAGAAGAAGACGAGAACGAAAACGATGAAGAAGACGACGAGTGTAGCACTCCCACCAGGAGGGGTTCGCGATCGGAAAGCAAATTGAGTAGTATTGTATCGGAGTTGATGTCCGATGCTATAACTGAAATCCAAGAATACAACACAGCGCCTACTCCGATCGCACGCAAAACTCCGCCGCCGTTTGTGACAGCCCAGAGTATGCCTCAATTACTTCCAGACGACAAACACAGAACAGGAAAATTCATTACGTACGAACAGAGGCGAACGAAAATGCACAAAAACCGTACGGCTTCCTGTAGTAGTTCTGAAACTAGCGACGACGACACAGACGGTCGGAAAAAGCGAGGAAGTAATAGATCGTTGGCGTCGTTCAAAGGCAACGACAAGGATCCCGACGGGGACGGAATGGGTAACGCGGGCAGTCAAGGATCCGAGCCTTCGCACGAACACGACACCAGCAGTCGAGAAGGAGACAACAGTACCGCCAAGAAGACAGAAAGACCAAGCGGTAGTTCGGCCGGCAGACGTCATTGCATCACTTCGAGTTCAAGAAGCCGGAGAGGACGATCGGCCGAGACGAGACTGAGGGAAAGCCAGAGCTTAAACCGTATCACCGAAGTGCAAGAATCTGAAATACACACACCAAATTCAACTACTAACGTCAATCATTTTAACTTTAATAATAAAGCCGAACAGGTAAAAATACAATTTTTGAATGAGTCACACAAAAAAAAATCAGTAAATCAACAAAAACGGGCCAATAAAAATGTACAATTTATATTTTGTACTAATATATATGTTGAATAATAGTGCCTAAAATAAATAGAGACTTATTATTGTTGTACAATTGATTAATAATATTTTTGTTTGTTTTTAGGTATTAACAAATAACGAGAGATCGGAAAAAGTCAGTAGTAATATTTCAAGCACGCCTCAACAAAAGAAACTTCAAACGTCCAAACGGATTTCACTGATAAGCAAATATTTGAATTTGCAAAAAAAATTGTGCACCCAATTTTTGTTTGGCAAAAAAAATATGGATAATCGGTTGTACAAAGCGAAATCGTGCTCGGAAATGATTAACTCGAAAACCCACATTAGAGAAGTAAGCGTCGACAAATGTTAACAATTATATATAGATTAAATTTTTAAAATTAAAACACAAGAGAATTTCCAAAAAAAAAAAAAAAATACCAACAAAGCTAACATTTAATTATAATAATAAAATCTTTATTGAATCCAACCAACCCCCACCCCTTTCCTATATGGTTCCTGTTTAACGTTTTTTTAAATTTATATATGATCATTTTTCATTTCAAAAACTTTTATTTAGAAAATGCCCTTTTATTGACTGTTGTCCATTTTATATATTATGTTTTATTTAAAAAATTATTATTGTTGTGTACCAAATTACATTTTTTTTTTTTTTATATATATTTAAGAGATTATATTTTCAATGTACATTATATTCGGTCGTGGCACAAAAATGATTTTTATTATTTCGGTAATATCTCCTCAGTTTTTGGTTTTGTTTGGATACACAAACTAAACAAATTTATTAAAAAAAAAAAACCACCAGACTAGTCAATATTTATTCCCCATTGATAATGTGTAGTACAATATTATAATTGAATATTTTTATTATCGAATTTGTTGTTATGTTTAAGTTTTATTACCTTTTAGCGTTACGTTTGTATATGATAAAACCTAGTTAGACATTTTTTATTTTTAAAAAAAATACAAGTATACTTAGTTATTAGACTATAATATTATTATTAGCTATATAGTAATATTATTTTTTTTTATTTAATACTACAAATACCACAATGTACCTCCGGCGTCATGTTGAACGTGCTCGTAAACTTTTGGTGTGCTTCCTTTTGCGTTGTTTAAATCCAGTTTGCTGGGCTTGAAACACCGTCGCAATACAAATATATTAATGTTATAAAAATATGTGCAGCGTAAAAAAAAAATTACACAATAATTGAAATGCAGCTTTTTTACAGTTATTTTGTCATTTAACCATCAATGTATTAGTTGTACACACGCTATAGACTTCTATGAAATGTGTGAAGTCTATTTTTTTTTAATTATTTGATAACAAGAAGGAAATATTTGTGCAATACATTATCGTTGAAAACTGACAATCGTGTTTTGTGAAGGTTAACTAATTTGTAAACGTACTTTTAGTTTTTCGACGTTTCAATTTAATAATAATAATATAAAACATTTATTGTAACGAGATACTGCTTCCTCTTCCTAGACGAATATTTTAATATGAATTAAAAAGAAATTTGCATGATCGTTAACGATAGTTTTAAAATTGTGTGAATACGTCCTTTATTACCAATCGGTTGTTCGTTTTTAAAACCATATTAATGAATAATAAGATGTCGATAATATATATTATTATACCTATAACAACAATATAACTTGTGGCGCATTCAACGTATTTATAGTAATGGTGCGAGTGTAATAGTTAAGTCATTTTAATTATTTATCATTTAATTCGAATTGAACTGGTTGTGATTATAATTGGTATAAGATTAATTTAAATTGTTAAATTTTTTTTTATTTAGAAAATACAAAATATTGTTTTGTCAGTAAGTTTCGAGAAATAAAGAAAAAAAAAATTGATGAATTTACTGTTGTTAATATAATTATTAATCCTAAACCTTTCTCACATATATTTTTAGGTTAGAGATCACTTTTATTATAGATATTTTTTTGATAAGTTGACCTTAATGACTTTAATTGTATTTGTTCTTTTGATAAATGACAAAATCAAATATTTGATGTCTTCTTAAGCAGCACACACTCCATTAGTTCCAGTACTAAGAAATAGTACTTAATTACTTTTTCAAGCAACGTACCAAGTCGCTTTGTTATATTTTATAAATCATGTCGAATAGGTTGCAAGTCAATAGACATAATTATCGGATTATAGTTTTAAATATAATTTGAGATCTAAATTGTGTATTATATCCAATTCTTACTATATATTAGATTAACCCAAATCACAAATGGTTGCAACTTATATTATTTACCAGTTGTTATAAAAATTCTGACTAAATCTATTTATATATCTTCAGTTGACGACTTTAAAACAGTTTGCTTGTAACATACATTTGGCCATACTTTACAGAAGAGAAGAAATGCCACGTTCACTCACATTTAACCATACCAACTGCATCGAGTCGATGACGTAGAATAACTTGTTTATAGCCCTATACAACAGCTTATGTCACAAAATGACGATAGCCTTTTCACCGTCGATATAATAAGGAGTAACACCAATTAATTTTGTTATCTTTCGCTTATTTACACTAATACTTATGGTTACATGTTTGGTAGTGTTGTAGAGATAATAACCTAGCTTAGTTTATAGTTGTTTTCATGTGTATGGTGTTCATAACCTAAGAACCTGTTCGAACCTACTTCAGTCGCCTGGTGATAAATTGCACCAAGAGATTACCAAGACCATTTTCAATAAATTTATGTGCTTAAGTAGTATTTATGTATAAAAAGTAAAGGTCAAAACCAAAAACTTATTAGATTAAATAAAACTGCATAATATTAATTGTAATTATCAGTTAAAAATTGTTATTGCTACAAGATTATTACTAAACCAAAAATGTATCAACATTAAAATCATTAGATGCAAAGAAAGAAATTTATATTGTAGTTTTGCCGGTTAATATTTTTTACCAACTACATAAAATAACAAAACATTTGTAGTATTTAGTTTTCTTCTTTTAGATTGTGACATAATATCACCACACATGACAACTTGTCTATTTTTACATTATTTGAGAATATACACAATAGTTACTGTATGACCACTTATTAAAATATGTTTAGCCTACAATGGAAACCTATCCAACAGTATTCAAGGAAATCAAACCAACCACATGGAAATTTTTCAAAAATCACATGATATCTTCAAAAAGTGAGGAAAAAGATGGATTATTTATCATATTACACAAAAGTATTTAACATTTTTCGTTACTTGGCATAACAAAACCTTCTATTGTAGAATTTTGAAAGCTACTATATCCTTTAAATCGACGGCAGTCACAAGAAAATAAGCACAATAAAATTGTTAAGTATTTAAGCATTGAAGTTAATCTTTAGCAGTAGTAGGTCAACAAGAATACAAATTTGCAATTAGGGTGTTTTTCTCAACAAAATATGCATACAGTTAATTAATATGGTGGATATAAAGATAATTTTTTTATTTGACCTATTTCCGCGGTAATTGAACGTTAAGTGCATTATAAAGATTAAAATAAAATAAAATGCCATCGAATTAGAAGAACATGTAACTTATTTAACTAACCTAAAACAATTTATAAACGTTGTTTTTTTTTAGGTAGGAATTTAAATAAGCGGTTCGCGTACAAAGGAAAACTATCGAGTTGAGGTGTTATAAAATAAGTTTTTAATGATAATCAATAGAAAATATAGTCACAATATCGTTATATTTTTACCAAAACATGACAATATGTTTGGTCCGGGGAGGCGCGGCCATGAGGTTTTCACTTGGACCTTGCACGCATCTTCCTCCTCTTGCGCTTCAACCTGCGCATACGCTTCTTACGCCACTTAGCCCGCATAGTATGGGGCTAAAAGAATCTATAGAAAAACAAAAAACAAACAAACGCCATTAGAAAAAGATCCGATTCCAATGGACAATGCGAAAAATCCGAACGCGTGGTTTCGGTAAAAGTCGATACAAATAGTAAAAAAAAATAAATAACCCAAGCCGCGTTGAATAAATTGTCGTTAATTATAATATGAAACGATCGTCGTGTTGAATTGAAACCGATGGGCGATTATAAAAATAATAAATATTTTGTTTTTACTTACCAAAGGTAGAACAAATCTAGAAACGAGGACGCTTCAATGCAGTTCGAGAACGATTGACTGTGTGCCGGACGCCATGGACGGACGCCGAATAATGCGATGCGGCCAAATGTGAAACGTAGCCAGTCGGTGGGACGTAGAATGTGAGGTTATGTTCGAAAGCAATGGAACAAATCCGTGGAAGAAACTGATCTCAAAACCACTCGCGAGACCTTTGCGGTACTAGGATACCGCGGTTACGGTCACGGATCGTGGTAACCGCGGTGGTTGACCGGAACGGGTCCGTGATAACGACCGGTCCGTATGATCGTTATCAATTCTACGGTGAATGATAAAAAAGGAAATTTAAAAATAAGTTTGAATTGACCCTAATTGTGCAATGTGCAATAATAATAATTATTAATTATAGTCATTCTTATTAATCTCGACGTTTTTACTTTCTCTAGATTTTTGTTGGCATTAAAGAAAAATACATTTATGTATTTGTATTTTAATTTAACTCGTCCGTTACCGACTATCGAATCGATAATTTAATTAGAGCCTTAGAAGCGATGTGATACATTAAAAAAAAAAATTCAACTGTTTGATGAACTAAACGGAAACATTAAAAAAAAGGAATCGATTAAATTAAAGATGTTTACGTTTTGGAGAACACAGACGCTGTGCAATTCTGGTCTTACCGTAGTCAATCGGCATTATACTACGGGAAAAAATGGAACCGTTCTTCTCGGTATGACTGTTTAACGTGTTGCTACAATTAACATAATAATTATTAATAAACAAGTTACGTTTTTATTAAAACACTTAAATTTTGCACTACTCGTACGTCCAGCGTTAAGTAAAGTAAATGCATAATATGTAAGCCTCTTTGAAAATGTAATACTACTTTCACCGCGTAGCCGTATCGATGTACTATATTTTTTTTTTTACTCAAGATTTATCTACACCAACACTTAGTCTGTTTTACAACTTGAACGTAGAAAGATTATGTAATTAACATTTAATTTCATTTATAAACTATAACTGTATATTTTAATTGTGATACGTTATCTAAAATATTTTATAGTTATGCTCCAATGATAAAAGTTATTATGAATTGTAACTGGTCGTCAATTATATTAATTTTTAAAGATTACCATAGACTTTTTATATTGTGGACATTTTTTAACTTTAGATTGCACAGTTATTCAATTAATTACTTATTGCGGAGAAAACGTCCAACACAGTTTCACCATAAGATGATATAAAATTATGACGCTTTGACTTAAATTTTCGTAGTTAGAAATGAAATTTAAAAAATGCCATCATTTTTCGGAAAATCGATACGCTCTGTTTTACGTTGTGAGTTTTTTACTATTGCAAAATTACTATGTGTCCGCAAACAATGGGATTGTCGTTATTGGTACGGTAGCTAATATTTTATTTTAATTTGTATAGCATAATTCATAGATAGTTGATATATATTAATTATTGTTAGGGTAACCAAATCTTTGAAAACTCGTCCACAGTCGTTTCGAGCATACTTACAAAACTATTGCAGAGACTGCAGACAACCTTATTAATTTTAGTATTATCAAAGACTATTGTAATAATAATTGTTGCTATCGCTTATAATAAATATGCATTTATTGATATTGTTTTATTTTTTGTAGGTGGCGGAACAGGCTTTGTTGGAAAACAGTTAAAGAAAATGCTCATACAAAATGACTACAAGGTCAAAGTGATTTCCAGAAAAGGACAGGATATGACTTGGGTAAGACTGAAACAACTCGACCAGCGATAAAATAAACACGTGATGCGTTGATTGTAAAAAAAACAATTGTATTTATTAGGACGATTTGAAAAAAGACGGTTTACCGGACAACACGGTCGCCGTCGTCAACCTCGCCGGTGAACCAATTATGAACGCTTGGAAAAGATGGAACGACAAATTCAAAAAATCCTTGTGGGACAGTAGAGTGGAAACCAACAGATTGATTGCTCGAGCCATCGAAGACGCTCAGGTGAAGCCAAAAGCGTTTGTAGCGTTTTCGGGAGTCGGTAAGACGTAGGCTTTTGTTTTTAGTTTAAACAATTGTACTGGAGAATGTTAAATGGCCATTCCCATGTTTAGAGTGTTTCAAATAACATTTTGTTCCGCTCCTAGGAATATACCCGCCCAGCAACGAGGCCGTCTACGATGAAGATTACAAGGTAAAAGACGACGACGATAGTTTCTTCCAAAAAATGGTGATCGCCTTGGAAAACGCCACAAAGACTAGTACCGAAATTCGTACGGTTTTAATAAGATCGGGTAAATTGTTGGAAGTGTTTACAATAACCGACTTAATCAATAATTGTAATGCTACGATTTCAGGAATCGTTCTCGGAGCAAAGGGCGGTGTAGTACAAGCCTTGTATCAAATGTTTTGCTTCTATTTCGGCAACGTCATCAGCGGTGGCGACCAATATTTCCCTTGGATTCACATAAACGACGTGTGTCGGCTGACCATTTTCGCTATCGAACACAAACAAGTCGACGGCGTCCTAAACGGAGTCGCTCCGCAGGTGTGTACGACATAATTGTATTAATTACTGTTTGTAAACTATAAAATTGAACGCGTTATTCAAACACATGTTGCAGACGATCACCAATCGGGAATTCTCCGAGAGCTTGGCCAAAGCGGTGCACCGGCCGCTTTGGTTTAAAACTCCGGCCGCTATGTACAAATTGATGTACGGAGAAGAACGAGCGGCGATGCTTTATACCGGCCAAATCGTCAAACCTAAGAAAGTATTAGCGTCGGGGTTCAAATACGAGTACGACACCATCGACAAAGCTTTGAACCAGACCGTGCAAGAAATTCAACATCCGGATAGGATATAATAATATTGAGATGGAAAAGTCGATTACTAGGATTTAGTATTAATCACATTGTGTACTCTTATACATCGTTTTAGTAATATTATCATGTTAAACGTAGTTAGTATAATAATACGGTCGGCAGTTTTTCCTGCGTCATCACAATATATTTTATGTGTTTGTATAAAGTCATATATTTTTATTACAATAAATAACATTTTTATTTACATTCTTTCATATTTTTATTTTATAAATTAATAAAAAAACAAAAAAAAAAAAATTATCAGTCGTTATTAAAATTGTAAATAGGCTTCTAATGTCGCAAGCGTTCTAAATATCATAAAGAATAATATCGTTAAGAAAAAATAAATTAAATAATCAAATTTTTAACCGATTGTTAATTACAAGTAAAATACATTTTTTATATAGTATTTTTTAAATAATTTTTTTTTTTTTTAAGACTAGAGCGTTAAAATACAAATACATTAATAATTGGTTTCTGTAAAATAATAAGTACTTCCAAGTATTACCTAAGTACAGCTGTTAATTCATTAAATAATATTTTAATTTACATATTTTTGTGATAAATACGTGTAATTTACACTTGTTCTGCGATCGAACGAACAAAAGAAAAAAAAAACAAATGTATATCATTATAATAATATCGATACGATCTATGTACATAATATTATTACGGACAAAGTACATTCGTAATATAAAATAATAATAAATTAATAAATATTTACAAAAAAAATCATAATAATCGTGTAACAAATTAAAATATTAGTTAGGTGGTTTTAATATGTTTGGCAATTAATTAAACTTTTATTATCTAAACGTCTAAAATACTTTGTAACGGTTCGCTTTTACAGAGCTTCGTCGCCGGTTTGATAGAGTTCCGATTGCCCGTTCCTGTGGGTCAGCGGTTGTTTTTCCGGAGCGTTTGACGGCCGATTGCGTTTGAAGAAACCGCACTGGAAAAAAAAAAATATATATATTTAACTAAGTAAATACAACTACGGTTCAAACAGTTAAACAGATTCACTGTTGAGTATTGATTTATTTTTTATTATTTAATATTATTATGTTGACCGGATTAGTGAAATATAATATTGTAAAAAATGATTTTCAGCTCGAATTTATAAATAGTGGCGCCTGCCGTCGGAGAGGATACCACTTAATGTACACAGTAACAAGGCGCAATACCTTGTACAGCAGGTACACCAGCAACAACAGTATGGCGGTGCCGGCGACGGCCGCCAAGACGACGATCCACAGTGGGATGATGTCCGGCTTGACGCCGAGGTCCCGCGGGACGACTTGCGTGAACACTTCGTGGCTTCTGACCTGGGCCAGCTGGTTGTCCGGCTTGCCGATGTAAGGAAGTTTGGTCACCCTCGACGATATGGTCGAGCTCAACGTCACCGGCCGGTTGAGCGCCACCTGTGGACAAAAGAAAAGTACATGAAAAACAACCGAACCGTCCGCCGCCGCTCCGTCCGTAGTATATATTATGTACCTTTTTCAGCGTGTTCACCCAAGCCCTGGACCGGAACGACAGCCACACCTCTTGGTCCTTGGACAGCGGCCCTATCTTGCACTTGACCGTCGCGCACCTGGTGGGGCCGCACTGCTTCACCTGGGACGCTTCCCTTTTGAACCTGGTGTACAACTTGAACTTGCCGTCCACGTCCTGGCCGCCGGGGTTGGTCGGCGGTTTCCTCAGGTTTTGCGGGTCGTACAATTGCGCGTCGTACACTTGCGTGGACGCGTCGTCTTTCGTTATCAACGAACGCCAGTCGTCCACGTTGTTCACCTTGTACAGCTTGCCGTCGACCGTCCGCCACCGCTGCACCGTCTCGGTCTCGTCCACCTTGGACTGTTTGAATCCCTTGTTGCTGTGCTGTTCGTCGACGGTGCTCAAGCTTAGGGACAAGTCGCTGTCGTCGCCGGGTATGCTGGTGACCACGTTGGTCACACCGCTGCCGCCGCCGCCGCCGCCGGCCTTGTTGATTCTGTTGAGCGCATCGTTGTAGTCGATCGCGCCGCTTTCGACGCGAACAGAACTGCCGTTGCGCACGTAACCGTCGTCGTTGGTCCTCCAGTTGTTCTGTACGTAAGTCTTGGCCGCGTCGCCGTCGCCCCAAGTGGTGTTGGTCACGACGCTCTTCTGCGTCTCGTGAAACGTGGAGAAGTTCTTGCCGCCGGCCGCGCCCCAGTTGCCGCCGTCCCGGGTCCATCCGCCACCACCTTGGACGCCTTTGCCGCGGTTTTCGTACTCCCATTGCTCTTGCTGCGTCCGGACGCCCGAGTGGGCGGCCGACGAGTCTATTGCGCTGCCGCCGGACGACGAAGCCGCCGCCGCTGATTCCCAACCCTTGCCGTAAACGCCCTGACCGCCGGACGCCGAGTTCAGACTCGACCCGGACGTGTCCCAAGTCTTGCCGCCCGACGTTGCCGTCCCACCGCCCGACGTTGCCGTTCCGCCAAAGTGCGCCGCGCCGTATGCGCCGTATTGCGTGACGACGCCGGAAGACCCGACCGCGGTGTGACCACCGCCTACTCCAAAGTCCGAAGAACCGGACTGGACACTCTGACCGCCGGACTGGACGACACCTTGGCCGCCCGTTTGAGATGTCTCCGTGTAAACCGAACTGCCGCTGGACTCGTATACGCTGTGACTCGAACCGGAAGAACCTCGGTTAACGTCCACTTTGGACCCTTCGACTACTCCTCTTTGGCCTCCAACTGACGCCGTTCCACCTGTGTTGAACCTCGTGTTCTGCACGTAAGACCCTTCGCCGTATTCGGTTTTGGCCGCTTCTTCGTCTTTCCTTTGTATCTCCCACAAACGTCTCTTTTCTTCTTCGGTAAGCTCCGTCACCACTTTGGTGCCGGTCGAACCGGAACCAGATGAAACGGAACCGGAACTCTGGCCCTTGAAAGTAGTAGCCGCGGCCGCTCCGCTGGAGATCAAGCCGCTGGACTCGAAGTACGATTTCCTGGAGCGATCGATCTGCCAAGATAAGATGGTCAATGTAAGGTTAGGTTTAGTCGCGGGCAAGCGGATTTGACGAACTCTGTGCTTAAGTTTTAAAAGGGCAAATCTCAATTATGCTCAAATCATTGACATGCCTATTCTCGTTCTTTTATTATGCCTCGCCTCAACTCCTAATATTGTGGAATTCGACCTTTTATCCTCGACCTCCATTCGAGACGGTTACATTCACTATCTCACCATATTTTTTCAGTCCACTTCTTTTATTCGAATCTAGCGTCACACCTCGAGTTACCTTTAACACATTGATTTTGTATTTTCCCCCTCCCTCGTCACATAATAAATATATATCCGCTGCTTCTAACTCGTTTTTCACTGTCCAGTCTCGAGTCTAAATATGAGATTGGCTCTTGTTATCATCATAAGACTGACCTTTATTTTTAGCGGATTAATCTCTTCGATTGCCTCGCATTTCACTGGACCGTTGGTCTCTGGCATTTCTAGCAGATACAGCAAGGGCTCGCCTGTAAGAAATATAAATGATCAATATTGTACTTAAAAACTAGAAATTAGCATCACACGAATGTTAACTACTGGTTGGTGTAGCGAATTACCTGCCAAAGTGAACAACGGCCAATCGATGTAAGCTTCGGCTTCCAAAATGTCCGAAGGTCCTTTGTTCCTTATGCCGTACAAGTGTATCACCTGCGGTCCGATTTGCTTTTCCTCGGTAACGTCCACGGTGTCCTCAACGGTGGTGTTGTAGTGAACGTCTACAGGTTTCGACGAGCCTTCCACGATCAGGTCAGTCTCTACCCACAGCGGTACGCCCAAGTACTTGGTGTTGTCCGACACGGAATCCGGATTTTCGGGGTTGGTGCTGTTCACCGCCATTTGGAAGTCGTACCTGGCTTTGGTCTCGGTCGTCTGGTACGGTTCCAAGACCACTCTGAACTGGACCTGTTGGCAAAGCAAAAGCGAACATCGGTCATTAGAGAGACTCGGACAACAAGTCGGGTTAGGTTAGGTTGTGGTTGTTTTACTAACGTATCTGGACCGGGGCAGCGGGTTTCCGATGTCGCAGTGCAACGTGTGGTTGGTGGCGACGGACGGGGCCGAACACTGGACGGGAATTTCGTTTTCGTTGTCGTCCACCCTTTCGATCTTGACAAAGTTTATCCCTTGCGGCACGGTCATGTCGAACGACGTCTCGAACGAATCCTCGCCTTCGTTCTGGACGATCACTTCCACCTTTAACTTGTCGCTGGATCCGAGCAAGAACGAATCGACGTTCCTGCGGGTTTCAAAAACACAACACACTGGTCAGACAACGAAAACTCGGTCCTTATTTACGGTCGTCTTCGCAATCCGAAGATATTTGTGTATATACTCACGGTTTGGCGATCAGACGCAGATCCGGTATGCAGACGTTGTCGTCGCCACAGTTCTTCTGTATGATGATCGAGTCCCTGGACACGGCGAACAGTTCGTTGTCGAGATCTATGACCGGCGTCAGACTGGTCCTGGTGAATTTTCTAGTGTCCTCGATGATCCTGTACCGGAGCTCAGCTTCCAACGGCGTCAGCTTGTCCCTGACGTTGTTCTAACCAACAACAACAAAAATGGAAATTAGTTTTTTAACTCGCTCTAGGACCCGCCTTGGGACGACCGGCGCCAATCGTACCATCAAGTACACGTTGAATCGTTTGCAAGACTGTACGTTTTTGTCCAGGGTCAAGCTGTGGTTCAACACGTTCCTGTTCTCCTCGAACAAGAAGAACATCCTGGGGGCTTTGGGCTTCTTGGCGTCCAACACCAGCTGAAGCTCGATGTCTGAAATGACCGAAAGAGCAAACGTCAGACGATTGATGAATATTACACCTGCTGGTCTTTGTACTTCATCAGTTTTAACAACACTCACTCATTTGGTCGTCCACGCCGATTCCGGTGTACTGGAGACACGTGTTCAGGAACAGACAGGGCACCGCACTGCCGTCCCTGGTGGTGCATTCCTTCTTCTCCAGAGATATCTGTTTGCTGGCCGACATGAAGTTGACAGTGTTGGCCATCTGCGCCACCGGCCGGGACTTCATGTAGTACACCGTATCCGATTCGTAAGCGCCGACTATCAGGTCGGGATACTGATTGTTGTCCAAGTCGATGCCGCCGGCCAGCGAGAATCCAAATGTCGACACGGGCCGTCCGTACGACACGTCCTCCGACCGGATCACTTGCGAATACTTCTCCCGCACACCACTTCTGGTACCGTGGTAGATGTACACGGCTCCGAGTTCGTTGGGACCGTCGTAAGGCGCTCCGACGGCGAAATCTGACAATCAAACCAAGTTCATCGTTAAAAGAAAACTAACAAGTTTTCTAATGGCACAGCAATGACCAAAATACAGGGTGTCTCAAAAAGAATGACGGGGTTTCAAACGGCTGTAGGTTGTGAAGTATTGGACTTACAGCACTCCGGTAGGGCTTGAACGAAAGAGGGAATTGTCAAGTTTCGAATGACTGCCACTAGATGTCTTATAGCCGTAACTGAATTACGCTTCGCGAACTCGATCACTTCTATTGTGCGGATGCCATCTTAACAAACTGAACAATGAAGGCTGGCGACACAAACGGAAACGCGGAGAGACATCTAGTGGCAGTCATTCGAAACTTGACAGCTTCTTTCGTCCAAGCCCTACTAGAGCGCTGTAAGTCCAATACTTCACAACCTACAGCCGTTTGAAACCCCACCATTCTTAACCCGACCATTATTTTTGAGACACCCTGAACATAAATGAATCTGGCCTCGAATTTCCTTTACCAAGTCAGTTTGTTTAATAATTTTACCTTATTTGGTTGTTTTACCAAATAATTTCTTTCATTTTTTCGAAACGATTAATATTCAATTAATAGTTTTCACTTACCACCGAATCCGTCACGGTTGATGTCTCCCAGTGTGGCCAGGGCCAGTCCGAAACGAGATTTTGAGTTAAAACCTATTCTCGTGTTTCGTTCGTAAAACCTGTAACCCTGAGGATACAAAAAAAAAATCATTAGTTTCATCGCTCAACAGAAGAAAAAACATACACCCAAGAGACTAGTTAGGAGTTAAGACAACGTGATACATGCTGTGATGCTTTTATTTGGATTTTTGGACAAAGCGATTCAATTTTATTTTTTATTTTTTAGAAAAAATTATGCATTTCTTTTTTTCAATCTGATACTCATTTTACCCGTGCAGAAGGTCAAGTTAGATCCAGACATGTTCTAGGTTTTTCTAAAAGTGACTTGTCGAAAGTGGCCATAGTTTTTTGGACAGTTTGTTAATAGAGTAAAAATATATAGGTCGAGCTATAACATTATGTACTCATCGATAAAGTAATCAAGAAGGCGAGCGGACAGTGTGGCCACTTTAAACAAAAATAAATACTTTTTTTTATAGGTTAGGTTGCAAAGAATTATCCTTATCAACTATACAGATAAATAAAACAATTCCAATTCCAGATGATAACGATTAACGTTATTACTGATAAGTCATATAAAAAATACACCAACAGACTTCAACGAGAGACGTAATACGAAGACCAGATCTAACTTATGCCGTAGCACACGGGTTTTAAGCATTGTAAACTATTAAACTGTTTGCCTCGGGCAATATGATACGGCACGTCTAAGTGTGTCTAGTTTCTTTTTGTGCGTCCTTAAACGTGGATTCTCATACACCTTGCTAAGGGCCAGAGAAAAAAAATATACCAATGTATTTATATGTTTTTTTTGGAATAAATTAATTTTCTTAACGTCATGTCATTCTAGCCGTCTCGAGAGACTACGACAGCTCGTCTCTGTTTATTTATGTACATTTATATATTTTTTTTTTACCTCTTGTTTCAAGTAAACGTACACTCTGCCCGTCTCGTAAGACCCGTCGTTTTTGGTGAACTCGCTGTACAGAGGCGCCCCCACGATGATGTCATCGCCGCCGTCGCCGTCCACGTCGGACACGCAAATCGAGTAGCCGAAGTAAGCGCCCATCTGATCGCCAGTGATGTTGTAGAGATTAGTGAGATTGGTCGAATACAACAGAACCTGAAGACAGATAAAAAATGAAAAAAAAACCCAGAGTGAGAACGTTTATTTAAGTATAGGCAATTTTTTTTTACAAAACCTCAACTTAAAGGTTAAACGGTGATATTGTTAATTATTAGTTTCTGTAATTAAGACTCTACTTTTGGAAGAGCTCTATTAAGAAAGCCAACTCGTACCATAAAAACGTCTACAACTAACTAAATAGTGTGACGTCCTGTTTAAGAAAATTTACACTTACAAGTTGATGTGTTATAATGATGTAAGCCTTACATTTTTCTCCCCCAAATTTTTATGTGATCGAGCTTTAAAGGTAAGTAAAGGTTTGGAAACCGTAAACAGTCGGTGAGGACGTCATACCTTTTAAAAATAATCGTTAAAACGTATTTGTGGAAAAGTGTGTAGGCAAGTCAAAGCGAAATGCCACAATTTGAATACCGTTAAAAAGAGAAGAACTTTAACAATAGGTTCTCAAATTTTACCTGTAATACTAGCACTTAAAAAAGCACTTGGCTCTGGTTAGATACATATTTTTTTTGTTGACATTTTTATGTCTGCTTTGGCACATAAATGGAAAAATCGACAATTTTTTCCGTTTCTTAACATAACGAAAATATCAGCTGATTTATCTGATAAGATAAGAGAGATAAGAGATAAAGGTTATTTTTAAATCGCTATACAAGTTTTATGCTAAATACTGGCAAAACACAATACTTAAACAGTACTATAACATTAATATTGAACATTACTTTTCCCAAGAGACCTTCTCCTCTGGGCATGCCCACGGCTGAACCGGATTCAGAATTTGCCCCGAAAGTGCCCACTGCCACCGAATAGCCCAGGTAAGAATCATCGTCGGTCGGAGGTCCTTCGTTGGTGGAAAGCACTTCCGGACGACTGTACAGACTCTGCGAATAAACCTGACCTGCAAATAATATGCAAACAACATGATTTAAAAAATTATGTCGTCAAAACAAAGCCGACGCTGTATTATTATTATGATTATTATTCCTTAAACCAAACTTAGTACGAGTTAAATGTGTTTACTAAAAAAAAAAAAAATAATAATAACTTAATCCACCTTTTAATTTTTTTTTACTAACATTTTTAGTAGTAGATATACGTTTGTTTAGTGTTTTGTGTACCTGGTATTCTTGGACAGTTTTAAAATGGATAGACCTATTGTGGACAGCTATTGTGCAAACAAATCGGTTTAACTGATTCTAAAAACACAATGAGATGACTCGATAAATTAATTTCCTTTGCGAATATAAGCATTTTGGTTGCAAACAAACCGGTTATCCTTTATAAACGGTAATCGGACAAACGGCCAAAGAAATATTAGGCCAACCATATATTTTAATCCCATAAACAAATGGCCAATTATTTTAAATAAATTATGTATATATTATTAATTTGTATTTTATATCCCTAAAATTAGCAAGTACTTGAGTAACGACAATATTGGTCAAAAATTAAGTTAGTACTAATTTAAAAAATAAGAATTTTATAATTTTTTTTTTTTTTTTACTTAAATCGTTTACTTAACTATTTTTATATGTACCAACTAGTTTCCTGTCAACAGTCAATAGGTTTCAATAGCATCTATCCATTATGTCAACAATACTAAAGTGGTATTAATTTTCGGTACAGGATGTTTCTCGTGCTATAAAGTCGGATCAAGGATGTGTTCCTCTAATGAACACATGTCAACAGCGGCGCACCTGTACTTAGTACGACTGTAAAACGGCCATTTATAGAACGCACACGTTAAATTTAACCCTACGCCGGTTAGGTCTCTCTTTTTTTTTTTTTTTTTAATATCATCTGTCTTTCCAAGTGTACGTTTTGGTTGGAAAAAAAATCGGCGCAAACACATGTGTCCAGAGTCAACACGTGTCTATCCGTTACCGGAACAAGGGATCGCGATAAGTAAAAATATATCATGAAATAAGCGAAAAGGTCGCGTTGCAGTGTGACCAGAACGACCAGAATTACATTTACCTGGTACCGGTCACACTGTCGCTCGTCTTCTCGGTAACTTCCTTGCCGTGTACAGGACCTTATAATTATGATGTTATAGCTTTTAATCATATTCTTAATCTATATGTATCGGAAACACCTTGTACCGCGGTAAATGTGCACGAAACGGTTGAAGTGTGCAATTAGGGTTTATGTAGATTATAATTATTATTATTATGGAAATATTAACACTATTTCATCGTTGTTCTCTGAAATACTGTAAATAAAATTTGATAGGTACATCATTAAAAACAAAATATTACATATGTCGTAGCGAGCAAATCAATAATAGTAAGCCGAGAGTCAAGCAAAGCGTTCTAGTGAAGTTTTTCAACAAGCTATTTCTTACAAAGTAGATGCAACCAGACGGTACACTCCCAATTGAAGCAATATTGTGATTGCTAAAAATGTAAGCAAACCATGACCAGTATGTACCATTACAGTGGTAAAATGGTCTGTACAATAATTACATTTCTTAGAGTGTGGTTACACTGTTTCGGTTATCAGTAAATGCCAAAATGTGCCGTCTGGTTTTATCTAATCTGTACCGTTATTCACAAACAAACAAAAATAGCAAGCACATGCCATTCTGCGTTAACGTTCCAAACATGCAATTATTCAAAAAACAGGACATGAAACCAAAAGTAAGAGTAAAATTCACAACGAATTTTTTTGAGATAAACATAATTGAAATTTCAGGCGTTGGTTTCAAGTTGTTATTAGGGTTATGTCAAAAGTATTATGATATTATCATCGTAGTGTTTTGCGGTGTGAAATAATTATAATATTGTTATTTTTGTTCTTTTTCATTTCCAACGCAAGTTTACCTTCGTCCAAATCGTTGAACACATACTGTATGGCTGGTATAAACGGTAGTCGAGCTCTCGAGTCGACCGAATACAATTGTCCTGCAAAAGAACATTAGCAAAATTTTGTGTGTTGACATCCGACAGTTATTATTTTCTACACATAAAGCCCCACGACGAATAAAACATGCCCGGTAGAAAAAAAAATACAACAACAATGATAATAATAATTATGCACAGTGTAGTATTTTTTTAATGATTTGTTTTTGTTTTTTGAGTATTGACAAATCACAAAAATATAGATCCGCAGCAAATGCGATAAATTATAAATTATAAAATATATGTATAATATATTCATTTATACATACGAGCCCATGTACAGGCGAAAAGCAACATATAATAATAGTATAATAAAAACTACATGCCGAATGGTGAAAATAACAGTGCATGCATAGGAGACACATCTTTTCTAACCTGGCGCGAAAAATTGGGAAAAACCCAAATATACATACATAGAAACAAAAAAAAAAGAGATAGGCACTAGTTACATACATAGGTAGGTAGTGACTGTTGCAATATATTGCTTAAAAAAAAAAATGCTTGTATTCAATAAAATCATGAAAACATGATGTAAACAAATATAAAATGCAACGGCGGTGTTTTTTCCGGGTTTGTGTTAAAAACAGCTGTAATATTATTATTATTTATCTCACCTTGCCAGTACCAACTGCCCACGGCACCGATGAACAAACGTCGACCGTCCTGAAAGCAAAAAACAAAAACAAAATAGCAATTCATTCGATGCCAAATGTTTTTGAAAGCTCGGTTTTCTTTTTACGTACCTTGGAAACAGATGCCCCGAGTCCGGCTTGGCAAGTACCCTGTTTGTGGTGACCCCAATTCCCTGGAACAGCAAACATATGCATGTTTTTGTACTATACACATCAACAGACGGCCTATCATCATAATGCAATATTACATATATTAACGGCCTAGTTTTTATTCACGTGCCCCCGCAAACAACACGGCTCCGACTGTTTTTTAATTGGTTTTTAATTTTAGCACCGTCGCTTCAGACTAGTACGAATCGCTTGTTGTACAATATTTCCCTCTTTCGGGATACCCTATGGCGAAAGACAAAGACCGTCTGTGTTTTTGACGTTTTAGACCAAAAAGCCAGACAAAATGTCGACTACTTAGGACGGTCTGATTAATTATAATTACAAGAAACTGAAAATTCGAAATGAAAATCAGCTCCCTACATAACACAGTAAAGTAGCCAAAGAACTAGAATCTCTTTACTGGTTTTAAATTGGACCATTTGGTCTAAAATAAACCAATACGGCTTTCACTCGTTGAAAAAATTATTTTAATTAATAATAAGACCTTGAAGCTTATACAAATCAACCGGTAAACTAATTGACACGGTCGAAATTTATTAAAACTTCATTTTTTCTTAAATATTGCCTACATGGTTATGTTATTGGAATGGTTAGAAGAAATTTTGTGTCATAAAACTACATCTAAAAAGACATTTAGAAAAATGAAATATGAGACAAGTGATAAGAGGTAAATGATAAGTGATAAGAGATAGAAAATAAATACCACATTCATAATTCAATGTTTTTCTGTATAAAAAAAACAGGCTTATTATTTTTTTATGCATCTCATGTTATACATTTTATTATATTTTCATGTATACCTAATTTTAGTAAGTTTATGCCTTTACCACAAGCTGATATTCAACACAGTTTTAATGTATTTTTTTAGTAATTTTAACTAGTATTGTATGAATATTATCTAAAAAGTATTTGTCGATAAAAATATAAAGTTTAAATATTTCCATCTGAGGGGACACCTGTGGAAATATCATATATAATTATTTTTTATTTCTCAACGCACGAAATCGTCCGAATGCAGTTTTCGTACGTGTGTCGCACTTGCCACACAATAATAATAAGTAATAACAACAATATTGTTCTGGTTTCGTCCAAATAAGGTATCAAATCAACGAGCACTGCTGATTGCGCGGAATTTCGTTTAAGTCGAACGTCTCGGATAAAATATAATAATCACAAAGTAATAGCACAACGTATAAACCTATATTAGTAACTGACGTGACAGATGTAAATCACTTTAGTAGTTTCTTTTATTTTGACCGGGTTTGACAGCTCTTTGTAGTTTATTTTCACCGTGCCACGGCCCACGACCAAAGGAGAAGTCTATTGAATACAACTTTAAAAAAATCTATATAAATCTATAAATTTTTTTTACTATATTTTCAACTATATTTAAAAAACATATTTTTTGATTCAATATTTACAAGGTCGGTTGGGCAGAATGAAAAGTGACCTGCGTGTGGAGAAACTTTGAAAAATCTGTAAGTCTGACTTACTTGTCCTGCACGGCGAGTATTCGGAGAAGTCGTTGAAGTCTCTGGTGGTGTAACAAGTTCCCACAGGATCTCTCCGGCTCCCGGTGCTAGTGAAGTAAACGTATCTCGGTGCGCACGCCTGGAACAAAACGATAAAGCCATATCCGTTAAACGGGATAGTTAAGTGTAATCACCGTTTCCAATATGGAATGAAGTTCCTCTATATGTAAGTACAGTCTCTATTGTACAGCAATGATTGCTGCGGTATATTTTGATTCCATTCAATCCCATTACATCTTATATACACAAGCAACTCGTATAGCGGCCTGCGGCAGACAAATTAGTGCAGGGCACACATACTTCTTCTTATTATCACATAGAAGACGTTTGTGAGCCTCAACAATGACGGCCAAGTTATGTTATTATTATTATTAAGTATTTCATTTCTATTTTCTTTTTCGTTCCATAGGTAGCCCTTTTTTTTTTTGTAGATTCCAGGACGTTGATTAATTGACCGTTACAAATACAGAACGAGACCATTTATAACAGAATGCATAGTACATATTATATTGTTCCGTCTCAATTTGGTCGCAAGCGGTTATTGCTTGATTAAAAAAAAAACAAAATCATTGCTCATATAAGACAGATAATTGAGTAGGACTTCAAGTCGAACAAACGCTTTAGACAATGACGTTACCTACGAAAATGATTGATACGAAAAAAAGGAATTAAAATAGGCATCAAAAGAGTAGTTTCGAGCACAATCGAACAAAGTTGATGCTCTTTAATAACTCAAGTCATCGCATTGTTGTTTAATTGATTATGTTTGAGACAATTATTTTAATATAGAATATCGTTATCGTTAGAAGAAAACGTCTCACATACATTTAGGTAACTATTTTACCGTATTATTTTGCTTATAGTAGTTAAGTAAAATTATAACATTTCAAAGACGTTTAAATAATAATAATATCATCATCAAAAATGTATAGCATAACAAGAAGAGGTGATATTTTATCTCTGAAACTTAAATAATCTCAGGTCAGTGTGGCCAAAAAATGATAAAAAATAATCCTTGTGCTATATAGTGTGGCCAAAGACATTTTATCAAACATCCGTAATCAACTACTTGTTATCAGCATTTCTTATCAGTTTACATTATAGCACGACTAAATAAACAGGCAAGATTGCTAGGTTAGCAATATGACATTAGAAGATGTGTTATTTGCTTAAAACCAGAAATTAACACGGTAAAATACTTCTTTTTCCAAGTCTGTGGCGATTTTCCCGCACGGTATTATCTATCTTGTTTATCAGGTCATCGTAAACGGCGTGCACAATATTTTCGGCACCATAATTTGGCCCTACTGCTTTAAGTTTAAACCAATCGAAAATCGTTATTTTAAAAATATAATGTTTTACAACGAAGTGAGCTATCTGGTTTTATTTAATCTGCGACAGACCCTTATTTAGGGGTTGGGGAAGCCCATCAATGGCCCGTGCCCGGGGCGACACGCTTTTAACTCGTGACTAATTTAATTTGACTCGGTGACGACTTGTAAATTATATTAATGTACATTTTTTTTTTTTGTTGTAACCAATGTGGTAGTACTTCTAATACTATACACAAGTTGTAGCCGTAACGTTAGGCTCTCGAGGGCGTAGTAGACCTCTCTTAAAAAAAAAAAAAAAAATATGTCTAAGTACTATACTATGTGTGTGTGTGTTGGAATAAAATTCGTATGACTCGATAATTTCTCGTCTCGAGGGTATGCACACACACACACGTGTTCGTAGTGTATTCTTATAGAAAGGATATTTTTAGTTTATTTTTTAGGTAGGTAAGTACTATATAGGTACTAACTACCATAAGTACACGTGTGCGGGATCTCATCAGTCACGGTTAATTCGTCTAGTATTGCTTGTATTAAATTAGTGTCAGATGACTTGTGCGAGCGAGGAAGCGCTTTGGCGGCTCGCGCTTAGATTAAGTTATTAACCGGTAATTTATTTTATACACAAGTATGTATTAAATGTATATATATATATTTTTTTTTTTTTTGACGCCCGTTCTTCCCTTTTACGACGACCACGACTACATTAGCCAGCACTTATTTCGTACGGCCTAACCTATCCGAGAGGGTTTTTACATTTAACTTGAAATCAAATCGATCGCGTGTAATTATTATTATATTATTATGGTCCGGTGGTCACGACCTAAACTGCTGTGCACGTCGGTTGTAGCTGTATAAATATAATCGTTTCGGGACATTTGGCCGCGAACATATCCAAATTTGGAACTCTGCCCTTTTTTTTTTCGCTCTCTGCTGTACTTTATGATACATACCTGCGTAGGCGTTTCCGTTCGGTTTGTAAGAAAATAATAATATTATTCTGGTCCACACGTTTCGCAAGCCCACTACACTGCACTTGTATATTTTCATCCGCTAAACGAACAGTGTCATCCTGTTAAATAAAAAACCAGATAGTGCACTCTAAACAAAAGAAAACCGAAAAATGTAAACAAACTTTAAGAATCTCAGATCAGTGTGACCAAAAAATGAAAATAATAATCATTCTGTTATCAAGCATCCGTAATGTTATCACCGTCGACCTTCGTTAATCTAATATACTTGTTATCAGTAACTCTTATCAGACTACGTTATTATTGTAAACAGTGTGCACGATATTTTACGACATAAATGAAAATATTGCGTTTTCAAGTCTACTCAAACGGCGTTTTTTTTACCAGATTTTACACTATATCAGTAGTATTATACAAATTTAATTAGGTAGCTGATGTCACTTGTTTATTAGTTCGAATACTGCGATTGAAAATGATTTGTGTACGATACGAATGACCTTAAGGAATATCATGATTCCTGCGTAGGTGGTTTTCTTGAGGAAAAAATGTAAAGTAGCACGTCATGTACAATTATTGTGTGGTGACCATAAATGGCAATAATGATACGGGGAAATAACCTACTGGGCAATAATAATTGTGAACTATAATATAAATTAAAACGGTCGTTTGTTAATGAGAATTCAATAAAATATGTTTTCCTTGCCTATTGAGTTTTAGCTTCGGCGCGAAGCTCGAATACCTATTGGTTCATGTGTTGTTTTTGTTGGAAAACTAAATTATTGGCCCTTTCATCGACCTAATATAATATGTGCAGTACAGGTTTGTTATTTATTACAGCAATTTGTCGCCGTTGCCGACTCCTGTGTACCTACAATGTTTCTCGACAGAAATCTTATACCGCCAGAGATAGTGATATTACTTGCACGACAATCACGACGTATCATAGATATGTATTTTTTTTATTTTTTGCCCGTCACACAACTGCAGCACACGATTGCGGGTATCCGCTTACGTTGCCGGCTAAAATTTATTGGTTTTCTGTTGTATTTAAATTGTATTTTTTTTTCTTCCTTTCCTCCGGTCGAATGGGTACCGAGAATACAATGGAGAGTACATTTACAAAAAAAAAAAATTGCCTTTTATGTCGTTAGGGGCATCACATATGGCCAAAGAGCTTCAGGCGTGTGACATGCTCGTTTTACAATCCACTTTGACCTCCGGCAAACCCGACCACCAGATGCACGGCCTGTTCCGTTTTATTATTCTTCTGTTGATAATATTTATTATTATTTTTTTTTTTAATATGGGGTGCAACAGTTGATACGACATTAATAATCTAACAATACATCACATCGTGTCTCGTGATGGTAGCCTAATGGTAGGTGTAGTTCTGGCCAAGATTATACTCTCGGATGTTGTACAGCTTAACAAATTGTCAACAACAACAACGACGACGACCGTTTTATGAATGTTAACACTATATAAAATGTCAGTACACGAAGACAATAATATGACAGTGACGACATCAAGTAGAAAAAAAATTGTTAAATCAGCTACTCTGTTTTATTACATTCCAAATTTTTTTTTTTAGTATTAAACATGTTAAATTATATGCGAGAATTGACCATGGACGTGATTTATATTATGATGTTATGAACATTTAAATTTAATGTTTATGTGTATATAATTGTATTTCTACAATAAACGTTTGAATGTAATATTATGATTTATGGATAAATACAATTATGATTTACACTCGTCCATGGTTGTGCGAAAATGACTCACCAACACTTATTATACACCTCAAGTTGAATTTTCTATAAACAGAAACGATACGCCTTCGAGACGATAAATTTAAATGAATAAACATTTATTGGAGATAACTCAAAGGCGTGAAGTAATTCTTAGGACTTAAGATGTGAATTTTTTTTTTTTTGGGTAAGTCAAACTGCATTAAAGAACGCTAGACGTACTTATTCTTATAAGCAGAAAAAAGTGCACTACGCACTAAACAATTTATGAACAATTACAATTTAAAATAAACAAGAACTGAATTTCAAAGTTTTTAAAATGTTCTAAACTATGAAATTATGGATTTTATTGTAACTTATAGTCGTGTGATATCACAAGCAAATTTTTATCAACACTGTCATTGATTACTGAAGTAAAAACTGCAAGTTGTTGATAACATTTACAAAATTTAGCGGTTCGTTCAAATTAATTGGAGGACTAATCGCAATTACTCGTTTTGGGGGTTTATTTAAAGATTAGAGAATCGTTCAATTCGTTGTGCAAAAGTTCAGCGTTGGCCAAAAACACTTTCACTTTCACGTGAAAAGAGACATAAGAAAAGTGATAAGAGCTAAATGATAAGAGATAAGCGATAAATTAAAAGTAATAAGAGATTAGAGAAAATTGATGTGATAAGAGATAATATATCCATGTTTTACCGTGGAGCGGAGAAAACAACTAGGTAGGTTTTTTTCAACCAACGTTCTGTGGCAGCTTACAGAGTTTCAGAAAGTTCTCTACTGCAAGTCCTTGAAAATAAACGGTTTTACAATAGCTCTTGATGTCGATTCCGACCGCGACTATTGTCCAACGGGCACACAACAATACGCGGATCTTATCGCGCGCCCATTATTTTTTATTTCTTGTAATAATATTTTGTTTATTTTGCGTTCAAGACCAATGCGCGCGCAATGGTGTCGATTGATAGGGACAAACTATGTAAATTCCACGACGCCACCCGGTGTTAAGTAGGTATTAATTACTTCACACGTATGAAAAGAGAGTGTGAAGAATGTGTAGAATACACATTCACGTGCGCACACGAGTACCGAGGAAAATTATCGATCTTGTAGCATGCTCAAGGCGTATCGTATAAATTGTTCCGGACGGTTTTAAATTCCTTTAGGTACATAATTTAAGAACACCGGTGTGTGACTTAACGCCCCGGCCGTTTAATGTAATGTATTATCATAGTGTTATTATTTTCATTTGTGTTAACGGCTATTAAAACGCGCAATTAGATAATATACTGCGTTAGGACAAAAGCGCGTTTGAAAAAAACAACCACCTAACGCGCGGCTCGCACTTCCTTTTGTGTTGCAACGAGCTGCTTATAAAATATGTACTTCCATAGACAATGTTCTCAATCTGACATCCAAGCATTTTACTTAAAACCGTCGTATATTGTTTCCTATCCGATATTGTTACTATTACTCTGCGGTTGTTTGCATCAATTACAATCAATGTCGACAGAACATATTACAATGACGACCGTTCAAGCCGGTTAAGCTTAAAAATTAAGTCAAGTCCCGTACAGCAAAAAAAAAAAAAATATAAATGTTTTCAAAAATGTTGTCAGAGAATTTGTTAGTTTTTTTTGGTGTATGGCATTAACGATACAACAATACTAGGCTAAGCTCTAATTAAATGCGTTGAGCCAAACTGGTGAAAACGCGGCCATTAACAAATTACATTTATAAGTAATATATATATATATATATAATATTGACCAAATTATAAAATGAATCGGAAATTATAATCTGTCAGACAAATTCCACTTATATTAGTGCAAATGCTTTTAAAGGGTTTTAACATGGCCCGGTTACACGGGATAGAATTATGTTAAAATAAAACGCTGCCACTCCCTTAACAATAAGTAATAGGTAGTAATTAATCAAAAGGTTCATGATTTGTAAATCGGTAATTACATACATAAATAACATGGATTATCCTGAGAAATAATTGACAATTGAAATTGAAACAAATTGCCGTCCATTCAAAACAGTGGCTTTAATGGTGAATTTTTCTTTAAATGAAATTCCTCAAGGTAATAAATTCAAAATGGTATATTGAATAGCACGTAAGATATATAAAAGTTATATATTAAATTATTGTATTAAATAGTCACTATTTCTTCGAAACTGCAAACGGTTAAATATTGATTACAGCAAGATTGTTTCGTTAAATGTGTTTTTATGAGTAAGAGACTATTAGAAATGCCGTAACACAACAATTAGCCTAATGGTGACACACCTAGGCAATATTTTAAGGCAAAATACTTTTTTTTTGTCGTAACTTAAATGCGTGTTACCGAATGATAAATCTAGCAAGTCAAATCCGAAACTATTCAATAAACATGTCTACCTAATGTTAGTTAAGACGTTTTCTTTGAGACCAGCGTATAATTGTTTATTTATTATAACGTACAATGAAGCGAGTAAAAAAGTTAGTTATTTTGTCCGTTCCACGGAAAAACGTTTTATCACGGATATTTTCTCTTATAATTTATCTCTTATCGCTAAATGAAAGTGAAAGTGTACCACGAAAATGGTGACAGTTAAAAGGATAAATGTCGGAAGCTTAGTTCTGTTTTAGTAGGTAGGTCGGAAGCCCAACAAAAACTGTACTCACAACACATAATATTATGCTTAACGTTGGTTCGATATCAAACAACCGGTTAGAAAATACGAAATGAAAATGTGTGTGGGCCTTGCGGCGCGACTGTTTAAGTCATAACAACTTAATTAGCTGTAGAAAATTGGAAAAATACCGCACGGCTATACCTACCGACGTCTGAGAGTAGACAAATTGAAGCCATGCACCGGTCAAGTATTCTCAAGTAATTTAGCATACGGCGAGTAATATTAATTAAACATACTGAAAATACTAATTAACTGTACGCATCTCCATACAAGCGTACACAAACAAAACCACTAGAGGGGCTAAATAAATCGAGACCGAGGGGGGAATATAAATTATTTCGTTGGCAAATGACCGATGTTGATTGATTGTAGTAGCCACCGGGGTTGGGTGGAAAAAAAATGGCTTTATCGAACCCATGACAAATTTCGAAATAAATCACTTATACCTACAGCGAACCGAGGAATATATTAATGAGTCATTAGCATTCCATCGATAGCCCGGCGAACACTGGCGCTGTGACCTTTAAGATGTTGCCACGAGTTTAAGCAGAATAATTCATTGGAAAAAATTCAAATAACCCTCGAAAGTAAGTGATATAGCCAGCATGATTACTTAAGTGCATAGTGGACGGGTTTGTTACCATTTGTTTATACACTCGAGATAAATAAGCCCAACAACGCGCAGTAACAGCTACTGACCGCGTAATTGGTTAGGGAAATTTAATTGGACCTAATCAGAGCGCAAGACAAGAGTGAATTGGATCGCTTAAAGAGGAACAATCAATTTAAACGGCAGGTTTGTACTATATTCAATACACGCCCAAGAGTATATGAAATTATCATATAATGAGCACCGGTCGAAACAGTATTATAACAGTCAAGAGTGTTTTTGTACTCACCAGAACGACTCCATTGTCTCCCGAACTGCTAACCGTGGCTCCAAACCATTGACGTGACTTCTTGTCTATTTGTATTGATCTGGTCGAGTTATTGTTTCCTATAGAAAAACAAATATTAAAACGGTTTTTAATTACAATATTACGTCGGTTCCCCACAATGGATATTATTTTCATAATAAAAATGTACTAATAATATATTATTTCCTCTGCGGATACTCATCAGACTGTGACGCATGCGATTCCCATTCGACATACGCCATTAAGTCTGTCAACGGTTGCACCGAGTGTGTAAATTGCGTTTGCCACATACACAATGCTTCATCTTACAACCATCGTACGTTCTTAGTTCTGCGATAACTTCCAAGAACAATTTTATTTCTTGTCAACATATCGTTTCTCTTCTTGCGCCTCTACCAAAACTCGTGCCCCTCCATTACCAGCTCCATGACAATGTAGACGAATGATGTTTACCCGCAGTTGTATGACGTGTTTTGTTTATTAAAAAAAAAGGGTCTTTGGGATCCGTATCAATCGTCGTACGTGCCCAATTACTGTAATATGTCTGCCGGTCCCGGAAATCAAGTTGTAAGATCAGTAAACGATGTGTACCTTTTCGTGTTCGTGTACAGCTGTACCCAACACCTACGCACGTGTCAAGATCGGACCGTGATAACGCCGGAGTCGCCTAAGTACACACTTTGCTAACGAGTGTAAAGCTGGGCGTTATCCGTGTACAATTTCTCAAAGCATGACGTGAAATACAATTTCCCCACAATTCACGCAGCACCCCTTTATGTATTCACTTCTTATATGCTATCCTCCGTTAGTACCGTTCTCCCGCGGGACAGAGTACATAGGGTTTCAACGCAAAGTCTATGTATTGGGTCATAGGTGTCCTAGGCTCCTAGCAGAAGCCGACGGCTAAAACAATAACAATTTGCTAAACAATAGCACGACGGTTGGCCATATGGCTCATGTGTTATTATATGCGGCGATACTTCCTCTGTCTGCATCAGCCATTGTGACCGGCCACGGTGATGGCGACAAAATTAATATAATCCAACAGCAGCACCACTGGGGTTTATACTGTTATTATATATTATTATTATTATTATTATACAGCGGTTCGGATATGGACTTGTGGATGTTTGTTGAAAAAACAATATTATCTAAATATAGGCAAGCGTCTTTCATTCTCCGTGTGTGTGTGTGTATACGACTATAATAACACGACTAGTCATTTGAGAGAGTCTGTACGGATATTATATTGTGGTTTTAACGCCGATGATAACTTCTGTGAACCAATACTACTAGAGCAACAGCAGCAGCATCATCATCCGAACCACTCGTATGTGTGTGTGTGTGTGCACTCAAACAAAGTCCGAGCCTACCGAATGATACCTATAGTACTTGGATATACATACAGGTATATATATAAATAATATAAGTATGTTTTACTCCTGCGTCTTCTCGGAACGCGCTTTTCCTTAACCGGACAACTAGTATTACGTACACGGAATGAATAAAAAATAGGAGTCCTGTTTGCGCACAAACGTCAAAGAAGCATCCGGATGATAATGTTATATGACCGGATCCGTTACGGCAAAGAGTGATTTTCTTTCTTTTTTTTTTTCATTCTATCCAACCCCTTAGTTTTTTTTTCCTATACATTTATCATCCGAGGTTATCGAACCGTCCGTTAAGTTCTTACGGCTAATCCATTCAGAGCCGACGTCGATCACACGTACATTGACTTACAGAAGTCTATGTGATCATTGTCACACATAACAAAAAAAATTTATATTTATACATAATATATACTAGAATATCTAAAAAAAAATTTTTTTTTTTTTACTTATCCTACCCCATTTAAATAAGAAATCTTTAAAATTTCAGATCCCTGGCTTAACTTGCGAATCACGAGGAAGTGCTTAGAGTTGAGCTGGAGATCTGGAATTTTAAGAATTTCTTATTTGAAAAAAGTCTACCAATTGAAAGGGTAGGAAAAACAAAACAGTCCAATATTTTAATATATAGGCCACGTCACGTCACAACTAGCGTGCGTACAACGCAAATCATACTTCGTTGTTTTTTTTTTCATTTAAGAATTCCGTTCGCATGTCAAGTTTTTTAAATCGGTTTAATATAGTGCAAACCGTTATTGAATTTGTCGTGCAAAACATAAATCCTCGTTTAAACGGTTAATGCTGCGTGTAGTTCTTTGACGAATGACGTTCGGCAATACTGTATAATGACCGTTTAAATCGGTTTGCCATGTATTATTGTTTACAGTGTGATCAAAATAACCGCAATGGCTATAAAAAGTAGGTAATATAATAAGTGCAAAAATATAGTCTCTTGTATTCTCCAATTATAGCGCAGTTCAGCGCATAAATTATACCTTTCATAGTGGAAAATGTAATGTTTTATATGTTTTAAATGTAAGTTTTATTATTTTTCTCGTTATGTCAATTTGTTTAATAGAAATTAATTTTGTTTTACTGAATATAAAGTCAAAATTAATGTTTTGTGTCTTGTAATCGTGTATCGACCGCTGTGTAATACATATTTTTTACTGCATTAGAAATAAAGAAAGGTGATAAAAAACGATTATATCATACTGTGTTATGTACTACGGTTCATTCTTTTTTTTATAGTTCTATTCAATAAGTTTACCACCGAAACAATTAAAAAAAAAAATAATAATAATAAAAACCATCAATTTTCAGCTGTCAACGAAAGGGAAATTGTACAGTAGGGTAGTAGTGGCAACGGTATTCTGGAAATTGATTTTCAAATGTAGGGTGGTTTGTCTGGTTTCTCACGGTATTCCATTGATGAATTTAGGAGGGGAGGGGTGTTAAAAATCGTTTTTTTTTTATCTAGCTAGCATGTGTTTTGTGTTCTTCAATAGTATTGCTAGGCACACAATAAATCATATGCTGACCCCATCACCGATAAACCAAACATCAAGTAGCATTCGAATGCGTTATGAATTAAATTGTATTTTTTTTTATATCAGAGTAGGTAAGATTTAGTAAACAGCATATTCCGCCAGTGTTCAGAAAAAACTATTGTTTTTGTTTGGAAATGTCAATTTGGTATCATCTATCGTTCATCTCGGTCAGAAACCAACGTATTTATTAGTCTATAAAATAGTTAATATTGTTTATTATAATATTATCGGGTTACACGTCTTGACATAATACTTGCTGCTAAGAATTGAAATTAAGTACCGCATACAAAGCATCGATGGTTTATTTATGAGTCAAAGACAATACAATTTATATTATATATATATGCATATATATATATATGGAAACCGATTGTTCTATTTACTTTGAGTATAATGCAAAATGTGTGACTTACAAGTACAATAAACGATTGTGATGTAAATTTAGCTCAGTTCAGACTACTGTCTGAGATTTTTCTTTTTCAGACTATATTAGTTTATTTCAACGTAAAAATTGTTTCTAATAACAAATGAAGTCGATAAATTGGTAATGCTCCTGATGGTTTTAATGGGTTTAATAATTAATTGATTTTATTTTTCATACAATGTGATCTCAATTTTCCACAAATTCTGATGTTCCTACACTAGTTATTCTTATGCCGGCTTTTGAAACTTAAATGGTAACGCATACGTTTCATTATCTATTTAAATTGAGAATAATGTACTCAACATTTTGACAACCATAGCCATGAATAACTATTTATGAAGTTATTGAAGTTTCAAGTTTAGGACAGGAGGAAAGTATGTGTAGTGTAGTGTTATTTCTGTCTGCGCGCACTTCCCCTACTAACTTTTAAACTCTAATAACTTTGAAAATAGTTGTTCAAAACTGGTTATCAATCATTCAAACATTTTTTTGTTGATCACCCTGTATATATTATTCGTCTTGTCTCGGCCAATCACGGGCCCGGTCGATTCCGTGGAAACCAATTTGTAATTTGTCTCGTGCGTTTGATCTATAGCATCTATAGGTATTTGTTCACGTGTCTTCGTCTGGGACGTGTTTTTTTAAATGTTTTTTTTTTTTAATGTCGCCATTTTTAAAAAAACGGACATGCTTTACCTTCGACGGTCGAAGTGGCCAGCAGCAGCAGCATAAGAAGCAAAGGGCACACACCAAAACGGGTTTCCTTAGGCGGCGGCGGCGGCGGTTTTTTTTTTGCTCCTTTTCCATTGCCCCACATAATATTGCGTTTATCGGCGAAATTTACATTAAAAAAGAATATAACGTTTGATGAAAAAAAAAAAAATAAAATTGTAAGTATTCCCCGTTTGATATACGCTCCGTACGGCTGCCGGACGACAGCTGAATGCCGATCCGTATTCGCCTTGAAGCAAGTGCCGTTTCGCTTAATATATATATATAAGTTTTTTTTTATTCTTTATCCGATCTATGTGTTCGACGACGAATGACATTTTTCCCAGACATAACTTTATGGTCTTATCTATCTACGGTAGACGTTGAGTATAAAATGTTTTTTTTTGTTTTGCTTAACGTCACCATCGTCGGCTACTTGAAATTCTCTGACGATTTTTATAAAAAAAAACTTATTTCAATTTTATTATTTTTTTTTTTTTTGTCTTAGCTTTGCCGACAATACAAATACCGGTGGCAAATTTGAAAATCCCATAATCCCAACGATAGGGGCGATATCATGCCAAACCTGGCCAAAAAGGTTTAAAATTTCAGCCTCATCTCGGTTAGGTTATGTGATTGTGGTTGTCAATGCTCTCTCCTCTTGGAAATAAACCCACAGTTGCTCTACCGGTAGTAGTCTTTAACCGTTATCAATCATTATGTTGACCGGGGTGGTCTTTTTTTCCAAATGAATTGACTTAAATACATTTATAATAAAATATTATCACGAGTATAATTTTTTTTTTCCTATACCGAACAACGGTTGTTGTGGTTTACGGTCGCGAAACATTAATGATAAAACATTATGTAACTCCAACCGGATTGTGACCTATTTAAAAAAACAATCGAACGTAGATAGACTGACGTAGACGACTCTGTTGGTCGAAGAGAGATTTACGATGAAATAAAATACATCTACAGAAATCATAAATTAGCAGATCTTGCATAGTTAACTGAAACCGCACGGAAAAGCGATGGAGTCCGACTTACTGTCCGACTTAACGTCATGGTTACTCTCCGTTGTTTTTGCCATTAACCCAATCCAACGGAGGTACTTTGTTTGGAAGAATAAAATCCAAATATATATATATTTCCGTTTCAGGCCCGCCGAAATTCTGATGATGTTTTTGTTGTGACATTCAGGTAGGATATACACAATCTTTGTCCATATAATTCTATATAGGTACTGTATACAAACCGTATAGGTGAATACGGGGTCGAATTAATGGGTGTTGAGATAGTCTGCAGATACCGTATGTATGTATGTAGTGGCCGCCGACACTGTAGATTTATGTACAACGGGGGTAAACGGTATGCATGTTAATGTGTTGTGTATTACAAAATCCGTCGACGACCGGTGAATGGCGCACGACGACCGAATACAGATGACTACGGTACATTATTTGTCTTTCGGACTTGAGACCTGTGATGGGTGTGTATGTGTATACAAGTTATCAAGATCAACTGAGTAGCCTAGGTTTGTTTTTTGAGTCACATCAGAGTGTATAGTTGGTTACTAAGGTTAGGTTAGGTTGGTACAGCAATCAGTAATGCCAAATTTGAGGCAATTCTTAGATATTCGATGGAAGAAAATCCCTTTGACCATTTGGATTTGTTAAGTATTGAAAATAAGCAATAATTAAGTAATATATATTACTCGGTACTAACACCCCCCCCCCTCCTTTAGAACAACAACTCTAAATATAATATAGTCTCGCGACCCGAACGGTTGTAATTAAGCGATTATAGATGAAATATTATGTTAAATCCGCGACGGACGTTGTTGTTCTGTTGTAATAATAGCATCGCATCCCTTATAATGGGTTCAAGACGTTAAACGAGGGTGTGAACGACGACAGGGAACGTATAAACATGTAGGCAGTGTAAAGTCAGTGTAATTGTCAGCTGTTATGTTGTTTAAAAAAAAAAACAAAATCTATAATACGTATATTTCTTTTGTGACTTCTAAACAATATACACCTTCGACACATTCCAGAAGATGTACAAATGTTTTGCTTCGGTGTGTTTTGTTTACGTCTCGTTTATTGTTTTTCGTTAAGGTGCCCACATATAAAGTCATATTATGAACGCACGCGTTATGTAAACCAATGTAACCTTGCACAATCATTTATTGTAAATATTTACATTATCTATGGAAATACACTGAAAGCTTTATGCGCGCGTCGCATTGAGGAGGATTCATCGGTTTTTGTTTCATCGAATTAAGACAGACGAGTGTTTGTCACGGTAGCCGCCAGTAGCTAGACTGTTTAATAACAAATATTGTAATTAACCACTCGGAAAGGGCTAATTGAATAATAATCTCGAGCCGAAGGAAGCTGCGGTTGAGTTTGCGTTGTCCGTCAAATCCATTAATTCACCGCATTCGTACACGTTCTGGCAACGGTACCTATATAGTAAAACCAGACTCTTTATCACTCTACTTTTTTACTCGGACCACGTCCATCTCCGAGTGGGTATTCCTTGCCCTAACCTTTTAACCGGCCCCGTCTCTTATGTCGTCGTCTCCAACGACAAGCTTCCATATTGATAAATTTCACTCGGCTCTGACCTGCGGCCGCGTTGAGCGCATTCCGAAGCCATCTGTTCAATCACACACAAGAGTAATGCAAAGACAACATTTTTTTTTTGCCATCCTCGAGCACATACACACAAATAGTTAAGTGTAATAATATTTTCCTTCTAGGCTTGACGTCCCGTGTACACTAGTACATCCGTATCTCCACCCCGAAGGTGTTACCTTATACTTGTACGGGGAAAAAATGCCTTGCATCAGAAGGATCGCTCTGTATATAAGCGCGCGAATCATAAAAAACGAACAGCGTCAAAATAACACCGGCACTTATAATAATGTATAATTTAATGCTGATGTCTTCATAGCAGTGGTACACGAGTCGTAAATTACACGGTGTGTCCATCGAGAGGCGGCACGTACAACAACGTGCGATAAAAGTATATAATAAAAATACACGATCTATACCCGATGATCGGGGGTATAGATCTTAGAGCAGCGTATAAAAAACATATTACGGTCGTCTTACCTCTGGTGTCGAATGGAACTTCCTCGCAGTCGTTTTCCCTGGCTGTGCCACATTTGTATACGGCGCCGCCTTTTTCCACGCCGGGTTGATCGGTTTGCGCCTCCGGAGCTCCTATGAGCAGCCTAAAACACATTAAAATCACATTTTCATCAATGCCCGATAATAATATACAGCTAAAAATTACTTAATCCCGTGTTTCGACACGATTGCCGCCCTCTATAATATAAGTATACGGTGCAATAGCTTTAACGATTGTGTGCATTACACAACGTCGTTTTTGCCCTATGATTTCATTTTGGGTTTGGCTGGAAGGCGGAGAGGATTCTATACAATATTTTTTATCGTATTATACTATAGTGACGACAGGAAATTATATAGACTAGAAACTGTATAATATGAGCAGGTAAAACGAGCAGCGAAGCACAACACAAAGGATGAGACGTTAGTGTACAGCACAAGGTGTTGGCAAGTTCTGGAAGGAGTCTACATCCTTTTTGTAGCGATTCAATTCTCATATTCCACCAAACTAATTAATGTCTTTTTTTTCTACACCTTGTATACACCTGTCTGCCGACTTGATTCCAACGCTGGAATCACAAGTTAAGACCGACTTTAATGCTTATATGACCCACGGCACAAGCTTTGGCAGAGCACTTGGCGTTGGTCTGAAAACCCTCCATCAGCGTACCAGCTACTGTTCAAGTAAATCGAATAAGGTAAACGAGATATCTAATCTTGATGATCTTCAGTGCCGCGTGCACGGTCCGAAGACGTCTAATTAATAATGCAATATATACCGGCGGACATACATAATATTATGCACTGTAGGAGAGTAATATGTGTTATTTTACAGACCGAGTGCACCGGGGAAGGCCGGCCCTAATAGCCGTTCACGATATAAGTGGTTTTGCCGGTAAACTCAACGCGCACACGTGATTATTACCAAACAAATAATTGCGTCGGGACTTTCTTGTAATAATAATATAATATACTTAACGCCCGACAGTTTACGCCAAGAACACACATTTTTTCTTTTCTTAAACGGTCTCTGGGAAGTCTAATGTACGCAGAGAATCTCCAACGAGTGAGCACATACACAGCACGTGTTGGTCTTTAGCGCATAAGACAGAATTTATGTACACACGGCAACCCTCTGAAACATTATTTTATCGCGTTCTAAAGTATTTTTAACAGTATGCAACTGTTAACCCGTACTTAAGTACGTTTAACGTGCACCTACACTAGTACATCCGAAAGGTCAGAGATTACATCCACAAGAAAGCACTCGAGAAAAAAAAAAAGCGCACTCCAAATCCGACAAGCCGTCAATACCCTTTTTTCGAATTGAAATATACTGTACCAAATAGTACCGACCAATTCTGTGATATAACGGCTGTAGTGAATAGCAAATACCGCTATAGAATTGTTGATAAAACAAAGAGGTGTTGTACTCCATATTCGTAGGTAAAACATTTATTACATCAACTGTTGTCTTGACCGTTTTAAATTTCGTTGGAAACACAAAATTAGACCTATCATTAGCTATGTGAATCTTTAATAGGATACGTGATGAACGTTGGTTTTTTTTTCGGTATTGGTATCACAATGACATATTATCGTTTTTCGGACCACCCTGAATGATGTTAATTTGGCAAACACCGGTATAGCCCCCACACAAAGACAATAGAGTCCCTTCCGGACGAAACTTAATGGTTCGTGACCCGTTTTCCTGTATGGATGTGGTTTTAAAAAACATAATATCTAACGATAGAGAAAAAATGAATTACCGAGTAAAAGCAATAAATTCAAAAATGGGCCAAAGGAACAAAGTAACCGATCGGTTGTAAATAGAGATAAAAAAAAATCCCGTGCTTAGAATATTCACGCACAGGTCAGTCAAAGGAACCACACCCTGTTGTGTGTATATTATTTCAGGGCGTTTTGTTTGCACCGGCAACTCTTTATTATGTATGTATGGCTCACTATTAGTTTTTTTTTTCAATACTTATATTAATGAAATGTTTATTTTTCTTCGGATCCGTTATTTTGCGGCGTCGGCGATTTAAAAAAAAAAAACACTACCGAAACACCGCTGTTAAACCATTTTATAACACAGATATTACGTATAATATGTAACAAAGGTAAACGTTTTATAGTTAAAAGTGTTGAACTGAAAACAATTATTTGAAAAGCATAATTTACGTTTACCCCGTTTCGACATAAATAGGTCTTGTGAGTGTACCAAAACTGATGGGGAAAGTTAGAGATAGGGTTTGATAGCGAATATAGGAAAATCGATAATTTCTCGATAACTGATAAGAAATCAATGATAACAGCATCAGCTGATAAGAGATCAATAATAATCACAGATATGTATATAATAAACTAGATTGCTAAGTGTACATGCCGCCAATAGACATAATTGAAGTTACCATTTTCCACTATTTTTGTGGGACTCAGAACCTTATCACATGTTTATAACTGTTATCACACTGTTTTTAACAATATTACAAGTTAAGTTGATAACACAGAATCACAGATTGACAGATATATATATATTATATTCTTTATTTCTTATATCACTAGTTAGCAATCTAGTTCATTATAAAATATATATATCTGTGTTTTATACTGATGAAAATATCTCAAACGTTTAAAAAGTCAATCGAAGTTAACCGAAACATTTTTATAAAATGGTTTGATACTTAATCCCCGTTTAAGTATCCAAGTTAAGTGGTTAGTTTTTGTACTACACCGCGGAGTCAAACAATATAATGTTTGTAAACTTAACGCACTTTTCGACCAACCTATCCGATCAGGAAACGGTTATGGTAAATAGGAAGTCATAGTTAAAAAGAAAAAAAAACCGTTTGCGTTGTAACTTTTAATGTTGTTAATAAGGAAAAAAGTAGGAGTGTGCGATCATTCGAATTTTGAATAATTTATCAACAAATCGAATTGAATAAATCAAAACGGAGAATAATTCGGGTTATTCAATTCAACTGGAAAGCAATCCATCTTTTTGGGTTTTCCACGATACATAACTTGTATTAGGCCTATTTAGGGTGAATTAGTACATCAGTTAAGAGTGTATAAGAATATTAAACAATTATTGAAAACGTCAAAACGGCACTTGGGATAATACTAAAATATTGACAATAGTACATGTTTGTGATAACAAATAAAAACAATAAACTATTACTAACGGTAAACACAACTAATGCGTTTTTTAATTAACGTTATGTACCTTACTCATCTGGACACGGTTGCACGGAAGGTTCACGATAGTCTTTGCATGTTAACCTTGTGTTTATCAACTGCACAACACATACAACCATTTTTCACACGCTTACGGTAAAAAAATAACAAGAGGAAAGTTTATATTATCATAATAATAATAATAAAAAAAAAGCACCGTTTTAGCACGTGTGGGGTTTAACCTTGACATTTACCATGATAAATTGTTTTTTTTGTATGTATTGTACAATTAAAAAAAAAAATGGTATCTAAGTCCAAACTGCAAACGAGGATACATACGAGCATTCGTCGTTATAAGACAGTCCACATCTTATTGTTTATTTGATTAACTTACAGTCACAACATTGAATAGGTATATAATAAAAAAAATAGGACCTCGCATAAACAATACAAAAATTACTATGAAAATAACCTTAGGCGTTTCTTTGTGGAAGACTTCCTCGTCAAACTCTGACAAGGTATTGAAAATAAATTGTTACACTTTGCATAGAAATAAAATAACACACCTTGACCCTTTTGATCACACATGAGACTGTGCTAAGTATTATAGGATATTGAATAGGTCCAATAATTATTATTATAACACCATGTTCTATCTATCCTTTAGCTTCGATTATATTCCAGCCGCGTGGAGTGACACGATAATAAAATACATGAAATTGTATTGTTAATTCTTCACTATAAATAAAAATGCATTGTGCAGTATAATAAAATAAAAAATCACTGCATATGATCGCATACAGATTACAAGCGTAAACGGGTATTGCAACACGACTAGCTAATAATAGTTAGTAATAATTACATTATTAAAGAATCGCTGATTAATCCCCTTATCAGTGTATATTACATTTGTATTAGTTTTTAATAATATTGTACAATTTTTTTTTTTACCATACAGTTCGTTTTGAGTACATGTTTTAACTAGATTATGTTGCGTTTCAAATGAATATTGATAACATCCGTACTACAATAATGGATTATGTAATGTGATTTTTTTTTTATTAAGATTTAATTTAACTGTTCGTTTTACTTTAGTGATCATCACGGTACCGACTGGGTGGTTATTATTTTTCCATGTACAGTCGGTAAGCTCTAAAATATTATATTAATGGAGGTTTAACACGCAAACTATAATATTAACAATGTTATTATTGTATAATAGAACGTCGTTAATATTCGTATATTTTCAATAAATCCAATACCGGCATTGCACGGTTGTGTTATTCGAGCAGGCCCATAAGTCTTGTGCAGTTGAAATACAATAATTTAAAGTCTGAACCGTTTTAACCACACCAATAGATGATTGCAACGTTAAAGATATCAATTAGTTTTATAATATTTTGCAGTTATAATAATGGAAACTTAACAGCTAGTGTATGAAAACGGTAAAGCTCGACAATTAAAAGCCCCCCTTGTGCACGTTCAAGTTTAAAAGTATAAATTTAATGTCCTATACAAAGACCACGTTTTGTATTTTCCTCTATATTATAAGTATTTTTATTGTTCTTTTGTACAATGGTCAGTGGGCTAATAAAGTAAAAAGGCAATGTTTTTTACGAGTTATTCCAACTGTAAGTTGTAAACCGCGTCAATTAATTGGTCGTTCTTCGTATCTGGCTGAACTTTTTTTTTTAAATTCTACAATATATATTGTGTTTATACAAACGATTATCACAGTCCCATAGTATTGTCTCTTGTATACTTTAACGACAATAATTAATAGTCTACATAGATATTTGTGTGTAGGAAGTTAATGTTAATTAGTTCTTTTTTATTATTTCCTTTTGATTACAAGTAAATTGTAAATAGTCTCTACCAGCAGTCATTATAATAATATAATATCTAATAGAAAATTAATTAATAC